ACGTTATAGTAATGATAAGGATATAAAGAGGAAATAGACGCCATGTTGGCCGGCGTAAAGACGACTAACCTCAAATCGTCCCCGGCCTTCAACAATCTCACAAGCTCGCCCTTTTGGCTTACGAGAATCATTCAATAAGTTATTAGTTTCTTTATTGGCGCATGTATGTTGTTGCTTTAACAATAAACAACGAAAAAGAGCAAATTAGGGGGCCGTTAACAAAAGTTTTGTGTAAACAGTCCTTACCTTGACATGATGGTGTGAATAAACAAACAATAATGAGAAAAAAGACTTTCTGTACAGCTGACATGACTCAAAGTGTATTTGGTATGCTTTCCATACCAGTGGTCCTTGCTCAACACTGCTTCATCCTCAGGTTTTGGCTATAAAAAGGTTAACTCGCTCCCTTGACAAAGGTGAGGAAACTGACTTAATAATCATGGACTTTTCGAAAGCTTTTGATTGGGTTCCGCAACAGCGCCTCCTGATGAAACTGCGCTACTATGGCACACGTGGTATTCTTAACACCTGGCTAGCACAACTTGGCTTACGTGTCGAAGCCAGACAGTTGTCCTTGTTGGGTACAATTCCCCGGAAGTGCCAGTTCTATCAGGGGTCCCCCAGGAGACAGTTCTCGGTCCCCTCTTGTTTCTCTTATACATTAACGACCTAGGAGAAAATTGTACCTCTAGGATGCGTCTTTTCGCTGATGATACTTTGATTTACAGCACTATTGAGTCTTATAATGATGCCGCCAAATTGCAGCCAGATCTAACAGCTTTTCAAGAATGGGCCCAGAAATGGCAAATGAAATTTAACCCCAGCAAACGCCTGTTGACTCTAACTATGCCCTTATGGGAAAAGTTTTAGATTCGGTCACCCACCACCCCTATCTAGGCGTAGAATTGTTCAGAAACCTCGATTGGGGCCAGCATGTAAATAACAAAGTCATGAAACGAAGCGCAGAAGACATTTAAGGAACTCTAGCCAAAACAAGTTTATTGAACCGCTGCGAAATACTGAGACTTATAAGAATAGTTGTTTTTGTAGAACTGGAATGCGTCGCCAAGCGAAATTGCTAACATTAAGTCCGCAGATCGTTTCAAAAAAGTCTTAGTTGAGTATTTTAGTCAATGATGAATTTTAATATTGCATAATGATCGATACTGTGGAACTTTTGTAGAAAATTTCTGTTAACGTCATTACTTTTAATTTTATTTCATTTTATTTAGGCGTCTTGCGTGATGGTAACCCCGTTGCAGGACTATAAAATTTGAACATAGGTTGAATAAAGGTTGAACAGCTGATTCATTTCTGTTTTTCGGAGGGAGAGAAGAGACGACCGGAAATGCGTCTGCTGTTCGCAGGCTACAAAAGGCTGACCTTGAGAAAAAATGTGCGTCATGATTCTAGGGTGCTTACCATTTGACAGAAAATTTCGGAAATTCCGGATGGAAGGTAAATGGTAAGGTCACTTTTCGGAAATTCCAGCCGAAAATTGAGGAGTGCGTTTTGAGGCAGTCCTTTCATTACGGTTTGTACGAACCAAACGGAATGTTGCTTACCATTAACCAGTTTCTCGGTTTCTTCTCGGTTCCAGACTCACGCTACACAAATTCGCCTTTTTTTGGATTCAAAGCGTAACGGATTTGGCATTTCTACGGTAATAAAACTGGTAAATCGCTTACCAATATGCTTTTGACTCCCCAACCGGATTTTTCTGTCAAATGGCAAGCACTCCTAGACACCATAGTTCATTCCTATGTAATTTGATGAGTCAGACGTAAATACTAGTTATTTAAGACTCACCCAGGAAATAGCAGCCTGGATTTTCAGAAAACCAGAGGGTATGGTACTCCTAAAATAAGGGTGTGGTACTAGAGATTTAACAATAAGCAATTGATGAATGAGGCTGAGTGGGATATGAAGAATTATGCAGATCAAGGCCCAGGAGGGTGTTATCGGCCGAGGTGGATAGCACCCTCCGAGATCTACAAAATTCTTTATATCCTACCGTGAAAGCCGAATTCATCAATTGCTTTATTATTCATTCAAAATAATTCCTAGTTTAAAAACAAGCTCAAACATGCTTACGTTCGTCGATGTTAATAAGTTCACTTCGATAGTGCATGTTTAGAAGATAAAGGGCTGTTCAGGTCTGCAAATATACTCCAAATAGCAGATGTTGTCCCTCGAGTTGTCTTTTTGCTATGTTTTTAGACAACAGTTCGTCGTGAAACGAGTAAAATGTTCCGCCGACTGTTCGGCCAATTTTCTTTTCTCAACTGAAACAACTCAACCTCGTCCCCAGGTCTTCTCGGTTAACGGTGCATTAACCTGCAACTGTGCTGCAATCTTGACGTCATCGGTTGATTAATCGCAAAATTCTTCCAAATTTGGTCAACAGTGGCTGGTTATGGTGAATTATGCGCGTGCTTTTAGCCAATCAGAAAGGGAGCAATATTTTGAATGAAAAATATCGAGATTTATTCCAGGCAGGATCTTATAAAGCAATTCAAATCAGCTTGTTCTCTGGCTTATTAAAAAAACAGCAGTTTAAATTAAGAAGTTAAGCATCTTGCAAAAGATTAATCTAGGCCTATAAAATCCATCAAATTCTATTTCAATGCAGAAGAAGTGTTTATTTGTTTGCAGAGCGATGAGGGTATCTCCAGACCCAAACAAAACCATCTTGCCCTGGAAATGGAGCGAATCGGTTGGTACAAACTTCAATCAGACATATTTCCGAAGAAATGCCAGTAGTTACTTTTGGCGGTAAACAGAGCTCGCCTTATTAAAATGAGGAAAAGTTGCATTCTTTCTCCGTGACAGGTAAATATTTAGCGAAGTCAGGAGCTGGCGGTTTGAGCGCAATTCGAGCGCAGTGCGCGAGCAGGGGCGGCGTCTCTCGCGTTCCGCGCTTGTATTTAATTGGCTAAAAAACGCCGCATTATGCTCAAAAGAATAAAAATAAAACGCATGTGAATGTGTCAACACACGATGATTGGAAATGAAACACGATTCTGACCGACTGAAATTGACTAAGGGGAATTTATTTGGATTTTAGAAGAAAACAGTACATGCACTACTGAAAGATTTTCAAAGCTTTCTGAAAAAGTTTAGTGTGATGTCCAAACAAAAATTTATTACTTTTTGAAACGAGTCAATTTCATGGTACACTGAAAGTTCCGTAATGCTATATTTATCGTGCGTCTCTGTATTTACGCGGGATAACTGATGTTACAATACAACGCACTAAGTTACAGACTTTTTTGACCCCCGTATAGTATCAATAGGATTCCCCCAACCCCTCCTCCATTACTGGAACGAACTCAGTAAATAGTAGATAGTCCGAAAGTCGTTGGCTCGAAACTTTTTGCCTCGTGTCGAGTCGTAACTCTCGAAACAAGTTAAGCAAAGTGGCTGAACACGTCTTCTCTCACCTGAGTGGTTGTAAGCATTGTTTCACATTTTACCTCGACAAATAGTGAGATCGCTGCTGTGTAACTCTTGTATACAGTCTCTCTTAGATCGATGTTTAGACGATTGCTCATCGATGCGTCGACGTCCTCTTGAACACTCTTTAGGAGGCACACTTCACGTAAAATGAATCAATGCAACACTATACACCCTTTTTTTCTTTCAGAACATTAATTAACTTTTTGATTGGGGACTAAGCTGAGGGTACTGACTGCTCTAATTTTCGGGTTGGTCTGAGTCACAAGATGTCCTTCAAAGGCCCCAAACTCCTCCCCCCCCCCCTGCCACCAAAAAAATAATTATAGTAAACGAATAAATAGACAAATAAAATAAAATAAAATCTTAAAAGTGCTTTTATCGTAGAAGCCTGGCTCGGAGAGTTAGACGGTTTTTTTCCTGTTTTTAGGTGGAGCCAAGCAGTGCCAACCTCGTTCCCAGGGTCCACTCCTACTCGTAGGAACGTGACTGTCACATTGCATACTTGTCAAACTAACTTACGTCCAAAGATAAAAGATGACTTTTCCCGCCCCCAGCCCCCCCTCCCCCCCTCTTTTCGAATAGTAATTTCTCTAATCCTCACTGACACTGCGATCGATTGACCACGGGTCACACCGGTTGTCGGTTGACTGTTTCCTTTCTTTTTGTTACTTTGTATTCTCAGCCTCATCGTGCTATATATGTGTTATAAAACAACACTAAAAGACAAATCAGTCACTAGTTCTTTTATGTGGAAAAAAAGGAAGGTTTATAAAGCGTCATAGATGTGTGAGTTAATTAGTATGTGTAATCAAATGGTGACGAGTGAATAATAAAGGCTCGGGAAATTATTAGGATTTGGACAAAACGCAAGTGAAATTATTGCCTAATTTCACGAGTATACCATTTGATTACCTATTAATATCATGGGTGACGAATTACGTTAGCAGTCTTGGATTTTTGACATGTTTATCATGGATCGTATCGATCGAGAACTCCACTCTCTCAAATGTTTAGACCTTAAATTTGGCTTATAAAGTTCGGAATTTTTCAGACTTTTTCGGCAAAATACCTGTTAGAATCCTTCTTGATGTTCTCTTGTGTGTTCAGGTTTTCTAAAGCGTCTTTTTGTGCCCTGACATCTTCATTCACGGCATTTTAAAACTTCGTCGCCAAGTGACACTGAGACGTACGGAAGGTTGCCATGGCAATTTTGTAATTTTACATCTGAAATTACAAATTAACGCTGAAATTTCGCGCCAAAATTAAGGAGTAATTCGTCACCTATGATATTATTAGTGAAATCAAATCATTCAGATCATTCAGTAAATCACAATTAATATCATTAACTTTTATCATTGAAATATTTTCTGTATGCTAGAATTTGTTTATCATTATTATTATTATTATTAAATTTGTATTTATATAATATTGATGTGGAGTCTCATTATATGGACGGATTCGATTACCCTTCGAGAGCATGCGAGTAGAGACTGGGAAAGAGTGTCTTGATATTCTGAGCGGGCAATCTGGGTACTAGTTGAAATTTTTCAAAATGGCGGATGCATCAAGATTCATGGCAATGAAACTTATCGTAATTTTTCCTCATTTCTGCTGAGTTCGTAGATGAACTTTATTTTTCTAAGATTTTATCCATGTCTCCTACAAATTTAACACTCACGATGGACTGAAGTGTGGCTCTTGCTGGACACAATATGAAGCACAACACGGTCGGACATCATGCCCTCTCATTCCTCTCTTCATTTCGTCCTGTGAAAACCATCCCGGCAAGATGTCTTCACGGCCGGACATTTTCTAAAAGGAGATCACTTTATGATGTCCTGGATGTGCCGCACTCCGCCACACAGGCTGAAATTAAAGCCGCGTATTATGAACTGTCGCTGAAATATCATCCAGACGTGAACAAGAGCAAAGAAGCCCAGCATACGTTCACAGGTTTGTTAGCATACAAAATTTGTTTATAGTCGATAGGTAAGGAGGTAAGGGGGCAGACAAGCTAATGAGACCCACGTGGTAGAAGCTCTCTGTGGCATGAGGCTCCTTGTAGTCTTTTGGACCATTACAGTTAATATCTGCACCCCTCCCTCTCTCGGTGGTGAACAAACCCGTACGAAACTTGCAGCGCTGTACAGCGCCACAAAATCGCTTCAAAATAGCGGTACAGCTAAATTAAAGCTGTTTAGCAGCATTTTAGAAGCCAAACAGCAGCTTAATTCAAGTTGCAGCGGGATGCAAAAGTGCTGTGCAGCCTCTGAAGCTCTCGGAAGCAGTTTTGCAGCACAGTTGCCAACTTTCAAAAGCTGCAAAGTAGCTGCCATGAGCTGCAGTAACGCTACAATTCAGCTGTGCTTGATCTGATAGCACAACGTTCTTGAGATAACATGAATCACCAGAAAAGCCTTGCCACAGATTACGGCTTTTATAACGAGAAAACTTTGACTGTACCTCTAAGAAATGTGAGTAAGCTTGTGCGTAGGGAAGATCACTTATTGAATAAACCTCCAAATTCTATGCTTTTGGAATCAAAGATTTCAATAAATTTCATTCCATGACTGGCGAGTGTGGGAATGTTATCGCTAATTCCCTGGAGACACTCTAGGCTGTAATCTAATTGGTCGGCACTTTTAGATAAGATCCCATTTCATCTCTAGACACATTTGTGACCGTTGAATGAAAGGCGCAAACATTCATACAAATTTGTAAGTTTTTTGCATCTAGTTCTGTTTCGAGATGGAAGTTCTGTTGATGATTTTGGATGGAACAGCTCAAAGGTATTTGTAAACAACAGCACTGTACAGTGAATTTTACGCGAAGTACCGACGAATTGAACCAGAGCGAGCAACACAGATACAAGAATCTTAGCTGGGGTGCGCATCCACTTACAAGATTCAAACGTTCACGATAATGTATGTCCTCAGTCCATTGTAAAATTTAACGACGACCAAAGTAAGATTGGCTTGATTTCTTTCACGAAAAAAGTGTTGCAGATCGTGGATCATGTACAAAATGTCAAGGTGAGCGATGTCAGGCTTAACGTGTTGCAAAGAGTCAAAATATCATTTGGCTGCTGTCCGGTGTAAACTTTATGTAGAAAAATCGCTATTATTCTCTTTATTTTTTAAAAAAGATAACCTTCAATGTCTGCATGTTAATGCCAGTTCTTACGTTTAGATGAGTGACCGTAATTGCTGAATATTATTTTACAAAGTGAGACTGTTGCAGATTTGTTATATGTCACCTGGTTTTGTAACGTGTACGCGTGGATACTAATAAAGTATCAGTTGCATTTTGACTTTCTAGTGGTTTTTACTCCTCCTAAGGCCTTGTCAACTCCTCTACCATGTCTCATGATTATTGTATTATTGAAGTCTGAATTTCTTTTTCTTTTTTGTACTAACGAGTGGTAGGCCATTACTGATAACAACATTCTTTGTCTTTTTGAAGCCACTTTGTAGCCACTTTGCAGCGCAGATCGTGATTCGGGAATTTTCTGCACTGCTGCAACAGCGCTGTTTATCGCTGTCAAAGGGCTTTCCACTGCAGCGCGAAACAGCCAAAATTTGCTACTGCTGCAGCCAGCACTTTTACAGCTCTTTTGTATTGCTTCTTGAAGTCATTCTGCAGCGCTGCTCGTTTCGTACGGGAAACACTGACCCCAGTCCATGGACTACCCATATCGATTATCCTAAAATCGACCATCCCACTGAAGTCTAGTGATTTAAGGTCAGGAAACGGAGTGAATTAGGTTCCATTTGGGAAACTGACCTGAAGCTTGATTCAATCAGTTTCCTAACCCAAATCACTAATCTTCAGTGGTGTAGTCCATTTTAGATTAGTCCATATGGGTAGTCCGTGGGGTAGTTCATGGACTGGGGGTCAGTGTTTGCCCACCACCCTCTCTCCCAGTGATGTATAGAGAAATCCTAGGGTAGAGCAGGATGGTTAACAAGTCGTTCCTGAAGAGGTAGCTATTTCAACAAGTTTGGTCAAAAGAAACATCCCCCTTTCTCTGAATGAGAGACTGTTCTGTTGTGGCTTTGACCCTTTTTTTCCTATAAGGGGAAAAACTCTAAGAGGGTTTAATTTACAGGTGTGCAGTTGTCAGACCTGGGTTCTTCTTGACATTCCTGCACTTTTAGTTAGAAAGCATTGTTAACTCTTTCAGCCCCAATAACCTCATACAAATTTCCTTCACTTTTCTCCATACATTTTTTTAATGGACTCATTTAGGGAATTTGTTTACAGATAAAAGCAGTTGGTGATCATGGAATTTTGATGTATTGATGTTGTTAAGAGAAAATTTATGTTGGCCACTCTTAAGACTTGAAATGTTAAAGAAATTATTTATTATAATTTTATATTTTATGGTGCACCTTTTCTAATAAATAATCATAAGGACACATGTCTTAATTGGTAAGCTCTATTTGAGGTTAAAATTGCAGGACAAGGAAAACTTAACTGCTGATTGTTTCATGCATTTTGTTTGGGCATCATTAAAGGCATGATATTTGGGTGGTTCTACATAACATTAGTTTCTGATGAGCTTTTTTTGTTTATATAATATAATATATTTTATATATTTTTCAGAACTGACCAAGGCATACAGTGTGCTTAGTAATTTGAATTCAAGGAGGGAGTATGACAAAGAAATTGGTGCTTACTTCACTATGAGGAGTGTAAAGAAGAAAGAAGCTGGCGAGAAGATGCTACGACTGACAGATGAAATGTTAGAGATTGATATGAATGGGACAAGAGAGGTAACAGTATTTTGCTAAGTTGTTTTTGGTGTTAAATGTACGTATAGTATCAAACATTTCTTTCAGTTATTTTAATTGAAAACCTCATTAAATTAGGAAAGATACTGAAATGTATATATTTTGGTTCAAATTTTATCCCTGGTTTAAATTTTATTACCCTTTTTTGGGGGGGGGGGGGAGGGGGGTATGGGCATTAATGTATGATAATGAGTATAAAACAAAAAGAAGTAAAATTTAAACCAAGGATAAAATTGAACCACAACAAATGTATGCTGTACATTGTAAAACTCAGAAAGCAGTGGAAAGATGGGAAATCTTACTCACTCAGGATTTTCTGCCTTGGTCCCACAAGAAAAAAAGTTATCTTTTTGGCGTAAATCTTTTATTTGCCATTGGCACATATCACAGAATACACCGTGTTTGCCCCCCGAACTTTTGCATAACCTCGGTTTTTTATTCCTCCTGGGTATTTGAGTGGTCCGAAGGGAAATTGAAGACAATACTTATGCAAAATTTTGGGGGGAAAATAAGGTGTATTATGGGAGGTATGCACATGGTGAATTGACAATGCTGGTTTGATCAAGATGGCTGGATGATGGCCTTGTTCTTTTTTGTGTTCTTACTGGCGTTGACTTTTATTCGGTCCATAAAAATGCAAATAAAAAGAACTTTCGCCAATATCCAGCCATCCTGACCTCATGATTGGTCAGTAAGGCCCAGTTCAAACATTGAAATTTTTACGTCCTGAACTTAATACCTATAATTATTCAGGTCAAGCATTCATGTTCGACAGTTGATTCAGATGTCCTACGATGTACAATGGTGTACATGTACATTGCTTACCATGGAAAATATATTGTAGTGATAATGCATTAGGTTTGGCACATAACAAGTTTGACGTTTGAAACCTAGTCGCTCCACAATCAAAATTCTCATGTGTACCACTCTTTATGCGTTGAATTATATAGGTTGGACTTCAAACATTGATCTCCTCATGTATTTATTTGAAGGGATCAGGTTCAGTACATGAAAAGTTCAACCTTTGAACTGGGCCTAAAGTTACGCATATATGATAATATGTAAAAGAAAATCTCTTTAACAAGAGTATTCAACGGGTTGTTTTTGTTTTCTCTTTTTCACACCAGAGTGGAATATTTCTCAGCACCATTGCAACTCTTAGCACTGTAATGGGTGTCCCAGTAAGACTGACCAATGTATCTGTTCCTAATGGTGGTCTCCAGTCACATGACATGAGAGTGCTTCAGCTTCTGCGCATGATCTGCAATGGAACACTGGCTGCAAACACAGGACTGTCCACTGTGACATACATCCCTGGAGAGTTGCTGAGTGGGCACTTCTCAGCTGAAGCTGGGAGATTAGGGTATGTTGCAATATCCACATACAAATTCTTGTGTCTGATTCCATACATTTCCTTTAATGATCACTGAATTTTTCGTTTTGACTCTCATAACCTTCTTGCTTGATTATGTATTGGTATGGTTAGGAGAAAATCGATGTTGGTCATTATACATGTAAAAAGAAAGTAGCAGGTACAATGACATGTTTAAAATCGGGTGCTACAGACACGGAGGGAAAGGGGTACAGTGTCTGAAAAACAGATTACTCTGTACCTGTATCAAAGTGCAAAGAAAATGAATTTTGCAGGTCATTCTTTCTCGGCAAGGATGTGCCAAACATTTTTACTGATTAATTGAACTGACAATGATTACATTGTATTACCAATTACATCCCTCAAAACTAAAAATTTAAAAATGTGGTCCTGACTAGCTCAGATATAAAATCTGCCAGCCTGAGGCTACAGTGCATATGTGCGTATGTATTCCACTAACCTCATTTTGTAGCGAGGCCTTACATGTCTCTTCACTTTTTTACACCGCCAGTGTAAGATGAAATTGAAATGGACAGACGGCCAAAACGTCGCAATCTGTTAAAAACATTTTAATCAGAGACATTTCTTGCAATGGCCTTTCTTCTGTCGAGTCCTACTTGTTTTAATGAAAAATGCACATTCAGCAATTCCATTTGCGTGATCGTCGTCGCCTCGCGTGACATCCAAGTTTATGGCGACCACTGACCGTGTCGATAATTTGTTTGTTGTTTGTCTTTCTGTGACAAAGAGGGGGATCTTTTAATGTTTGGTTACCAGCGTTAATATACATAACGCTTCACATGGGCCCATCATAGTCAAGTCTTACTGGTCGGCGGACTTCAACGTATTTTCCGCAGAGTTTGCGTGAGGATAATCACGATCCAGGTCACGAACATTTCTGTATACAGATACAAACAATCAACAACGATGGCGTCTGATTCAGAAAAGAAAGCTAGCGTGAGAGAGGACCAGTTGGTCTTTATGCGAGATGTTGTAGCAGGCAGCGTGTTTTTGTTGCTGGTAGCTCTTTTAGCAGTCTACGGTCCTATACCAAGACCTCATTTGCCAAGTTTGGAAGACAAACTAGTTTTCACGCTTCAGTGGCAAGCTGTTTCTGCTTTTGCTCTTATTGCAGGTAAGGATGTTTAACTTTTTAAATTGGTAACTTAGCTATTGCAGAGATCTGATAACTGCATTTTAAATTCATTTGTGAGTGTACGTTTCTTGCTTTTTTTATGTGTGTGTGTGTGTTTTGTTTTGTTAATTAATTTCATGACTGAAGGAACGTGAGTGCGTGCATGTACAGGTAGAAGTGTATACCTGTATAATAAGCGTCCTCAACATCGTTTCTTCGTGTCCTTACTGCTGGAAAATTTGCAATGTCCTTAGTCCTTATCACCATTTCCCCTTTGTTCATCGTATAATTATGTTTCGAACCTATTTTGTTCGGGTGAAACTCAGTTGTCGCCCAGACTCAGAGATTGCGTGACACATGGTATGTTTTATCCTACTGATGAACAGTTGGGACACGTAGATATATTTTTTAGCAACTACTATAATTTGCAGTCTGTCTACTTTGAATTATCATACGTGCATGTAGCTGTAGTCATAACCAACAACTCCATGAATTTGTGTTTGCGATATTAATTTCTTGTTGAAGAGTTCAATTTCGAAGTCATTTCCAAAAATATCTTCTTTAATGGTCTTTATGATGGTGTGCTGTAGCTCATTTGCAATGCATTGGACAAGTTGAAAACTTGTTCAATTCAGTGCATATGTAACATCGTTGTTTATTTGAATCTGACTACAGGTCTGGTGTGGGTAGAAGCAACCCGAGCACTTACAACGGCAATTAATCCTCTGGACAAAGACGCAGAGAAACAGAATCTCAGTGGGGTAGCTCCTCGTTACGCATCCAACACACTTGAGCAGTACCTACTGAGTTCTGGAGCATCAGTCATTCTGTCAACTCATCTGTCATCTGAAAACATGCATGTTATTCCAGTGCTGGTGATTCTCTTCATGTTTGGTCGCATCACGTTCGCTCTTGGGTACAAGTACTATCATGCTCATCGGGCATTTGGGCATATGATCACAACCTTCCCGACTGTTTGTGTTTACGTGTATTGTGTCTACCGCCTGGTCATGAACAACGTTGGTTACAATAGAAGCAGGCAGGTTTGATTTCATCCAAAGTGTCAAGTGTAGCAGTTCAAAGTTTATACTATCCCACCTAGTTTGCTGAGAGTCTCCTTGGTATCAAGATGGATTGTAATTCTTTGTAAAATTTAGAGAAGAAGATAAAGTCACATAAACATGCAAAGAAGAAAGCTGAACTGTTAAAATGACAACTTGGCATTTCATTTTTAAGATGAAGGCTAAAAAAACACCTGTTTCACAGAGACTCGTAACTGTAGTGAATTAAAATCATTACATGCATGAACGATCTAAGAGCAATGTATATGTATAATTATTCATCATTGACCAAGCATTAAGTTGGCTGCCCTATTGGCCAAATTGTTTTGTTATTTTCATTTCCGCAGTTCATATATGATTACTTCACATATCATTAACACTCATTTCTTTCACGGGAGCATACGAACCAACAATTGACCTGCTACCAACGTCAGTGGCTTCGTAGCTCAGTTGGCAGAGCCTCGCACCGGTATCGCGAGGTCACGGGTTCAAACCCCGTTGAAGTCCTGAATTTTTTTCAGGCTTCCTTACGCATTTGCATAAATTGCGTTCACTGCGACGATCATTTCTTCACTTTCATTTGTTTTGTTATTGTTGTTGAAGTTGCTGTTTTTATTGCGTTTTTTATGGCCAGAACAAGCTATTGTCAATAAAGGATCAATTATCTGCTCTTAAATTGTTTTTTCTGAAAGGGACAAAGCAGGCAAGGTAGACTTATACCCATGGTATACTACGCGACTTGAAGTTCTGATCTGTCTATCCAACATGATGCCCATCAAATTGGTACAATTTATCTTGCCGTACTGTCTGTCTAAACCTTCGGATAAACCGGCAACAAAAACGTGCAACTTGTTTGCAGCATTGCTGTACCACATTCACCAGTGTGTTTTATGTTTCAGTAATAATGCTCATCAGATCCTACTCAGGACATCTTCCCTCCTCCCTCCCCATCCCACAAAATGTACCATGATTAAGGAGAAGTCAGATCAGCTGGGGTCAACTCAGAAAAGTAGTGTGTTTGTTGTTTCTCTTTCTGTGACAAAAGTGTTTACCAGCGTTGATATACATAACGCTTCACATGGGCCCGTCATAGTCAAGCCTTACTGGTCGGCGGACTTCAACGCATTTTTCATAAAGTTTACGTGAGGATAATCACGATCCAGATCACGAACATTTCTGTGTGCAGATAAAAACAATCAACAACGATGGCGTCTGATTCAGAAAAGAAAGCTAGCGTGAGAGAAGACCAGTTACTCGCTATGCGAGGTATTGTAGCAGGCAGCGTGTTTTTGTTGCTGGTGGCTCTTGTAGCAGTCTACGGTCCCATACCAAGACCTCATCTGCCAAGTTTGGAAGACAAACTAGTTTTCACGCTTCAGTGGCAAGCTGTTTCTGCCTTTGCTCTTATTGCAGGTAAGGATGTTAGACTTTTTAAATTGGTAACTTAGCTATTGCAGAGATCTGATGACTACGTTTTCAATTCATTTGTATGTTTACGTTTCTTGCTTTTTTTGTTGTTGTTTGTTTTTGTGTTGTGTTGTGTTTTGTTTTGTTTTATTAACTAACGTGAGTGCGTGCATGTACAGGTACAAGTGTAAACCTGTATAATAAGCGTCCTCAGCATCGTTTCTTCGTGTCGATACTGCTGGACAATTTGCAATGTCCTTAGTCCTTATTACCATTTCCCCTTTGTTCATCGTATAATTATGCTGGAAGCTATTTTGTTCAGGTGAAACTCAGTTGTGGCCCAGACTCAGAGATTGCGTGACACATGGCATGTTTTTTCAAACACGCATGTAGCTGTAGTCATAACCAACAACTCGATGAATTTGTGTTTTCGATATTAATTTCTTGTTGAAGAGTTCAATTTGAAGTCATTTCGAAAAAATATGTTCTTTAATGGTCTTTATGATGTTGTGCTGTAGTTCATTTGCAATGCATTGGACAAGTTGAAAGCTTGTTCTATTCAGTGCATATGTAACATCGTGCATTATTTGAATTTAACTACAGGTCTGGTGTGGGTAGAAGCAACCCGAGCTCTTACAACAGCAATTAATCCTCTGGACAAAGACGCAGAGAAACAGAATCTCAGTGGGGTAGCTCCTCGTTACGCATCCAACACACTAGAGCAGTATCTACTGAGTTCTGGAGCATCACTCATTCTGTCAACTCATCTGTCATCTGAAAACATGCAAGTTATTCCAGTGCTGGTGATTCTCTTCATGTTTGGTCGCATCACGTTCGCTCTTGGGTACAAGTACTATCATGCTCATCGGGCATTTGGACATATGATCACAGCCTTCCCGACTGTTTGTGTTTACGTGTATTGTGTCTACCGCCTGGTGATGAACAACTTTGGTTACAATAGAAGCAGGCAGGTTTGATTTCATCCAAAGTGTCCATTTGAATGTTCAAGTGTAGCAGTTCAAAGTTTATACTATCCCACTCAGTCTGCAGTGCAGAGAGTCTCTTTGGTATCCGGATGGATTGTAATTCACTGTAAAATGTGGAGAAGAAAATAAAGTCACATAAACATGCAAAGAAGAAAGCTGAACTGTTAAAATTACAACTTGGCATTTCATTTTTAAGATGAAAGCTGAAAAACACCTGTTTCACAGAGACTCATAACTGTAATGAATTAAAATCATTACATGCATGAACGATCTAAGAGCGATGTATATGTATAATTATTCATCATTGACCAAGCATTAAGTTGGCTGCCCTATTGGCCAAATTGTTTTGTTATTGTTGTTGACGTTGCTGTTTTCATTGCGTTTTTCATGGCCAGAACAAGCTATTGTCAATAAAGGAACATTTATCTACCCTGAGATTGTTTTTCTTACAGGTACAAAGCAGGCAAGATAGTCTTATACCCATGGTATACTACGCGACTTGAAGATCTGATCTGTCTATCCAACATGATGTCCATCAAATTGCTACAATTTATCTTGCTAAACTGCCTGTCTAAACCTTCGGTTAAACTGGCAACCAAAACGTGCATCTTGCTTGCGGCATTGCTGCAAAACGACATGAAAAGCGACAATGCGCGTAATACCACGCCCACCAGTATGTCGTATGTTTCAGTAATAATGCTCAGGACATCTTCCCCCCTCCGTTCCCATCTCACATAATGTACCACGATTAAGGAGAAGTCAGATCAGCTGGGTCAGTTCAGAAAAATAATATGTACATTCAAATACAAAGTGTAGCTTTGGTTTTGGAATTTGAAGACAGTGAGCGTGGTTGTAAAAAATTTCACTTGTAAAAGTTTTACCAAACTGACCTTAAGTTGTCGTGGAGGAATATATTTTTTATCATAACTATTCTTCCTTTGCCGTAGGCTGTTGTTATGCTCGTTGCCGGATATTTTGTGATCAATTGAACCTTTGATTGGAGTTGTTTTTTGTGTGTGTGCTACTTACAGACTTGACAATTAGTAAGCTAAGGTAAAAAAAAAAAAATCATAGTAATTAGCTTCATGGAAAGGAAGGAACGAATATTAAAATGAATTTACAGAAGATATGTGACCTATAGATTTTTATGAAAATAAGCAACAATCGGGGTCAAAATTGTTGAGACATTGTACTCAAATAGGGTAACTACAATGAACAAAAGAATCCACACCTCTCCCCCCTTCCCTTCATTCAAAGTTGGAGTCTGTTGTTGTTTTCTATAACACCCTAAGTCAGTGTAATAATAATATTATTATTGGACTACAGGAGTATTCTTTTATTATTATTATTTTATGTGCAGTCAGTTAAGTCGTCTGGTAGCTGCAGTTCTTCCATGTTTTGCATTTGTCCCAGTTCCTGAATTCTCCCACTATAACAGACTTTACTTGAAAGGTTCAACTCATCGTTACAAGGAAATGCATTCAGATTACATCCAGACTGTAAGTTGCCACTATTTCTCGTTCATTTGACTTTTCAGAAAGCTGACTAGCTTGGGAAATAACAGTTCCGCTAATATAGTCCCTTTATTTACCTGAAATTTGAAAAATGGCACTCACTGTACTTGAATGAATAAAGAGAAAGAGTTTTCGTTTATATCATAATTAGCCTGCGAACAAGCTCTCCGGGACGATCTGGTGGCGGGCGGAAAAAGAAGGGAGAGCTTGCAACTATGTCTCTGGAATTTGAATATCTACATCGAAAAAGTCGATGCGAAATGCTCGTTGGCGGAAGTGACAATATTAATAATGACGGCATTACCCCTGGCACGTGCTTTTCAATGTTTGTTTACATTCGCGCTCGTTTCCGCTTTGCACTGAGTGGCAGAAATATGACAGCTCAGTCGACAGGGAGCCACAGGGGTTGGAGATGGAATTCAAATTCCAGAGACGCAGTTGCAAGCTCTCTTTCCTTTTCCCGCCCCGCTGCCAGAGCGCTTCGCAGAGCTTGTAGCAGGCTATATCATAATTAATGTCCAAACGCATAGATTTAAACCCCGTGCACACTAATGCGTTTTCGTTTTCAAACGCGTGCATTTCAATGCGTCTAGGCCTTCCGCTTACACTCATACGCTTAGCGTTTGCGTTTTCATCGAAAACGCTCTTGAAAGTGGTTCAAACGAAAATGCATACATATCGTATTAGTGTGGACTGTCGAAAACCCAACAAAATCAAAACGATGACCGAAAATATCGCAGGAAGCGTGTGTTTGTAGCATGCGCATTGACTTCAACTTTTGTCACAACTGGCAATTCTATGGTTTTCGAACGTTTTAGACCCTGTGCACTCCAATGCGTTCTTCAAAAAATATGCGTTTTCATTGCATCGAAAACGCATCGATCGATTCGCGTCTACACTACCGTTTTGATGCGTTTTCTACTGTCTTTAGAATTGCACGTTGAACTCTGTGGGCATGCTACAAACTAGCCTGCGTAGCAAGCGTTTCCTCGCGAGGTTCGTCTAGAAAGCTAGGACAAGAGCAAAAAAAGAATGAATGACGGGGGAAGGGGGAGGGGAACGAAGGAACCGCTTGCCCGCAAACCCCACGATTTTGAAAAACTGCGTTCGCCCACGAACGCAGCTTCTGATTGGCGCGGTGCGGGTAGTGGTAGTGTTGATTACTTAGCATTCGAAACATCAATCAAACCAGGTATGCTTTGTTTTCGTGCGTCACAGATCTGGTCTCATCTGATTTGTGGTCGCAGATTACAAATGCTTTGGACTGATATTTATTGGAATCGTGTTTGTGCGAAGGTTTATGAGATCAGAGTCTTCAAAGTATAATTGGAGATCGAGCAGTGGAGACTAGGGAAGGCCAATTTATTGAGAATGACGGCGTGCGGATCTGACTGGAAAAAATGGACTGTTTGTTGGAGATAACATCAACATCAGAACATCGGTACTCGACACTAGCTAAAGCCGCGACAAGCGATTTGTCAGCTTTTTGAAATGAAAAGATTCTTTTTGTTAATTGGAATTTTAGCGGCATCTATTGTAGAGAACGTTTCGACACAGGCTGAAGAGCAGCCGCTCTGCAAAACTTATACCCGGCGGAGTGAATTGTTCCGGACAAATCATTTTTGTCGTGTCGACAAGGTTTCAGACGAAATAAAGCCACACAATAAAAAACAAGAAATTCCGCAGCAATCACTCATAGTTTTAACTTTCTTTTATCGCAAATCTTTTTTATTACAGTTCTTGCAATCGCCTGCCACGTGTTCGATTAGAGAACAAAGTAATTTTACAAATCTGGTAATCCAGGGGTAATCTGTTCGTTATGTTTATATTTTGACGAGCTGTCAATTTACAAATGAACCGAACCGTGCGTTTTCCAGAATCGTGGGGTTTGCGGGCAAGCGTTTCCTCTTCTCCTCTCCCCCTCCCCCTTCAACCTTTTTTTTGCTTCCGCTCTTAACTTTCGCGCAATAACTCGATTGGAAACGCTTGCTACGCAGGCTAGCTGCAAACGCACGCTCCCTCGATATTTTCGGTCATCGTTTTCATTTTGATGCGCTTTCGACCGTTCACATTAAAACGATATACGTGCGTTTTCGTTTTGATCCACTTTCAAGAGCGTTTTCAAATCGATGCTTTTCGTGAAAACGCTTAGGAAATCAGTGTGGACGGAAGGCCAAAACGCATCAGTGTGGACGAGGCCTTAGTGCGGACAATCGAAAACGTATTAAAACTAGAGTGCGGACAAGAATCGATGGAAGCGTTTTTGGAGGCATCGAAAAAGCATACTTTTGAAAACGCATTAGTGTGGACAGGGCGTTGATTACAGCAATGGCTAGCGTAATTTGGACATAAATTTTGTTTGCTTTAGGAAGCAGCGTTTTAAAACAAGCCAAAATGGAAATACGGGAGTATGTGTATTGGATTACAGAATGGCACCCTGATTTAGCCATAATGAGAGGGTTTTAGAGCACTGTTTCAGGACTTTACTGTAGTTTTTTTACCCATTCCTCTCACTACCCGGGCAGAGATCTTGTCTTTGAAAGTCTTTAATTAATATTTCATCAACTTTTAGTTTCATGCGATATTAGGCTGTTAGCGATTCTCTGTAGACGTTGCTACCTTACGCACTAATCCTTGGCACTTATAATAACCTTGATCATTTTAAAAGTGGTGTAATATTGCGGCTTAATTGTTGTTCATCAGATTTGTTATTTTTACTTCAGGTTATACAGCCGTTTATCAGAAAATTTGGATTTGACTTTGGTTATGATATTCGTAAAAGGTACTAATAAATATGGTGAAATGGTTGTGATGTGGCTATTGCAACTTAATGTTGGACTTTTACTTCATGTTCTTCGCTCTTCTAGCCTGGGACCAGGCTCCGCACTGGGGGGAAAAGGAAAAACGGGGTCAAATAGGAAAAATATCGGCGAGCGAAGCGAGCCCAGCGGTAGTCTGGGGAGGGAAAAGTGGCCAGACATCTCTTGGCTCGCTTCCGACTCGCCGATATTTGTTTTCCTTTTTCCCCCAATGCGAAGCATGGTCCCAGGCTATTGCTCTTCTTAGTATACAGGTGCCAATTGGTGCACTTTCTTTCTTTCTCACTTTCTTCCTTTTCCCCTTTCGTTTTCTTTAAAAAAATTCAAATGGGGATTTTTTCGCAACGAGGACGACTGCACAACTCTACGACTTTAAATGTCCTAAATAACAAACTTGAAACTCAGCAAAGACTTTTAAGTCTTAAAAACTTCTAACACGTTTTCCTTTTCAAGCGCTTCTCCTTTTTGTACATCTTCAAATGCGCTTGTTTCAATAATACCAGGGATTTTCACTTCTATTTCCTTCTTTTTCAAGTTTGTGAATATCTCATACTTGATAGGCGACAACCATTTCCGGCAGTCTTCGGAAATCTTTGGTAGTCTTTAGAAATCGTCTGAAATGATCGGGATTTGTTGGAAAATGGCCGAAAACGGCTTGATATTCGAAACAAAATTCATATATTGGCCTCAGATGCCGAAGATGTCTACACGCGTTAGCTGTTTCGAAAACCTTTGTTTTGAAAGATCTTCATTTTCAAAAAACTTAACTTGATAGAGTGTTTTTGAAAAACCTCCGTTCACTCAAAGCCGGTTTTCAACTTTTTAGTTTGGACGGAACATTGTTCTGTGGGAAGTATTGGTTGGCAAAGTTTGGGAAGTGCGACCAACATGAATTTGTAACAATCTTACGCTTGCTTGAACATATTCTGCCCCTTGTACTTTATCAGTGTGCTGAATTTTAATATGCCGAAAGTATTTTTTTGTAATTTTCGCGTTTTATTTCAGGAGTTATTCTCCTTTCTGGGATGGTAAAGTATGCCTAGAAAGTCTTCCAGTATACAGTCTGTCGCCTATCAATATGATTGAGAGTGGTACTGTAAAGAAGATAACTGGATGGACATTTGTCAGTGGAGATAAGCCCATAAGGGTATGTTTGTGTTGTATTGTTTTTTGTTATATCAGTATACATACTAAGATATACTCACTGAAAAGCTATGTCATAAATTTCTATACGCCAATGAGTTCTAACCAAGCAGAATCGCGATCTATGTTTTTTTTTACATGCGAGAAAAATGATACGTCCAATGAAACGCCACAGCGATGCACGAGTTTCGTTCCAACTTTCCCGCCTTTGTATGGGCTTGCAGCACGTTTTGCAGTACCGTAAGACGTTCTGAGCTTTGTGTGTTTAAGATGCTTCCTTCTAATCTATGTAGCCAAAAGGTTTTGTTGTACACGTCTAAACTCGTTCTCGAGTTTTTCAGCCTTGATTTGTTTAGTTGTATACGGGAGGAAAAGCGCAGTCGTTCCCTAGGCCTTATTGTCTGGTCAAAACTCAATAAGCACATATAATTCTCTGAGTCTGTTTACATTCTCGAAAAGCACAGGGAATCTGTAGTTTTCTCCCGTCTCTTTTAAAACGCTTTTAAAGACTACTATCTCCATGGAAGGGATATATATTACCTTTTACGTACGATAACTAATTGCAGATATGCATAAATCGTGAATTGGTTCAATTTCTTTTTAATTGTAAACACATAGGTTATTTAAAATGTAGATAGATTAGCAACAGCCATATGGCATTAGACTCCACTTATTATTTCAAATTGTGACTTGATAGGATTTAGATGGGTGTCACCAGTTAACACACAGTTGTGTAATTATGTGTAATTATGCGCCTAACTGCGAGGCAAGAAGTGCCAGGTGGTTTGTTTTAATGTAAAATAGAAGCAGTGTGATAGATTGATTTTACTTGAACCGTGAAACAGATACAACTAGAGACCTTTAGATTCAAAGGCGAGGACGAGGACGAGTATGAGATTTGACTTTAAGTTTTTTCGCGTATTCTCAAAGTATAGACTCCTCGGAAAGCTTCATTTTACCATTTTTCACTAGAAGAGTTAATACTCTTATCTTTAGTGAAGGAGGTTACACCCTCTCCCGATCCCAAAATGATAAAACTTCTTACATTTGATGACTTGTTTCCGCCACTACAACATTCTCGCTAAAACTCGTAGTAGAGTGACAACGGCTACCACGTTTTCCCGCCAAAATGACGCTGGTTCACGCCTGAGCAATACTCGGTATTGAGAAAATCTCGTACTCGTTGTCGTACTCGTCTTAGAATCTAAAGCTCTCTACTAACTAATAGTGCAAAATAGCGAGATGTAAACAAAAGAAGACAATGGATTTAGTGCATAATAGTGCGTAGAAGAGATCTTTCACATAACTCCAACACCATATGCAAAGGAATCACAATAGTAGAAAGATCCACAAAATATGTAAATGATCTTTTCGAAGCACGGGTAAGCTTTTTGTTTTTTTTTGTCTGTTAATCCCTATGCGGCCACGCGGCATTCATGGGGCAGTGCAGCGGGGCTGTAAAAGATACTTTAAGCAGACGGAAAAATGCACTTCTTTATTTCAAACGCTTCAAGATGCCGACATTTTCCCAATTTCCCCCCTTTTTTTTGAAAACTCAACGGCATCTATACGTTGTCATTATTTTTAAGACTGAAGGATCGAAAGAATTCAATTTTTGGACAGATTTTTATTTTGCTTTATCTGCAAAATACTTGTTACAGAGACATGCAACTCACGTATGTTTCCATATATCAATATCGGTCATCATACATCATCAAACACTGACCGGCTGGAAATTTTACCATGAAGAACGAAAGCATCAGGGCATACTATTGTTCTACCCCAAGACAATCATCGATAAAATAAATTACACGAATTGTTTCCCAAAAGCTCCAAAAAGCTAAACAGCTGATTGCCACGACTAGTACAAGCAAGACGGCGATGTCACAGACTGTTGTGGATAACAGGATGCGATACGCAATATCTCTCCTCTAAATCTCAGTTTGACGCAACTAGAAAACACACACAACCATAGGGTGCAACTCGCTTCAAGCCATATTCATGTCATAAATTTCTATACGCCAATGAGTTCTAACCAATCAGAATCGCGATCTATGTTTTTTTTACGTGTGAGAAAAATGATACGTCCAATGAAACGCCACAGCTGCACGAGTTTCGTTCCAAGTTTCCCGCCTTTGTATGGGCTTGCAGCACGTTTTGCAGTACCGTAAGACGTTCTCAGCTTTGTGTGTTTAAGATTCTTCCCTCTAATCTATGTAGCCAATAGGTTTTGTTGTACACGTCTAAACTCGTTCTCGAGTGTTTCAGCCTTGATTTGTTTAGTTGTATACGGGAGGAAAAGCGCAGTCGTTCCCTAGGCCTTATTGTCTGGTCAAAACTCAATAAACACATATAATTCTCTGAGTCTGTTTACATTCTCGAAAAGCGCAGGGAATCTGTAGTTTTCTCCCGTCTCTTTTAAAACGCTTTTAAAGACTACTATCTCCATGGAAGGGATACATATTACCTTTTACGTACGATAACTAATTGCAGATATGCATAAATCGTGAATTGGTTCAATTTCTTTTTAATTGTAAACACATAGGTTATTTAAAATGTAGATAGATTAGCAACAGCCATATGGCAATATCTCTCCTCTAAATCTCAGTTTGACCCAACTAGAAAACACACACAACCATAGGGTGCAACTCGCTTCAAGCCAAGCGCTCGGTTTATTCTCCGAAAAGACTAAAGGATACATGACATATCAAAGAAAAGTAATATACAATCCAAGTAACATTCAGCTCCAAAGAACTAAATCACAAGCTAACTGAAATGGGGTCGTGGAACAACAGCTGGGTGAAAAACCTCCCCGTACGTCCACCTGCACCTAGGAGGAAAACCCCAGGCCAGCTGTACACCATAAACAACGGTCCCCCGTGCAAGACCAACTAAATAGAAACTAGAATAAATTAAAAAACGGTACGAACGAGAAAACTAAATACCTAAAGCCTTAGAAACTGACAAACGTGAAGATAAAGAATCTTGGACATACCCGTCCTTAGCCGATTCACTAGCCCAGCGGCCATGACGCTTAAAAAGTCGGTCTGGTACGCCAGCATTTGCGGCAGCAGTAGCCCCGCCACTCCTAAGGCTATGCGTACCAATGGCAAAAAAATCAGGTACAATATCTTTAAAAGCCTGCAGCACTAATTCTTTTAACCGTGAATAGCTTAAACCTTTAGAGCTAGGCTTATAACAGCATTTAGTTTTGGAAAGCTGGCAAAATAAAGGGCTATCGCAGGAAAGCCCAGTTCTTTCTAATAATAATGGAACAGCAAGACCGAGATGAAAGATAAAATCAGTACGCCCAAATATATACCCCCGCTAATTACCCACATACCAGAGCACATGCCTAAAAAAAAATAAGATAGCGATGAGAGCACATTTTCCTGTTAATTACCAAGTCACAACGCAGGAAAATACTAAAGTTACAAGAAGAGCGAAAATCCGGCACCGATGCCGATGCTGATCTCCCAGGGGAAGCCAACCCCGCAACGCCTGAGCCAAAACAGGACAAAGCCAAGAAAAAGTGCTCCAGAAAGCGACAGCGGCATCCTAGATAAATTCGATAGCGACAATAGCGACGAGGACTAAACATGCGAAATATTGAACTGTCACTTTCCTTTTGTTCATTTTTTCAGTTGATAGTATTAGTAAGCGAAAACGCTGAATGATTTTTGCCACACAATTGGTCTTTTATTTGATGGTTCTATTCGTGCGTGCCGCAAGTAAAGGAAAATACATATTTAGTATACTTTTGCATTATAGTGGCTCTAGTTGGAGTTATGTGAAAGATCTCAAGTATTGTACTATCTATTTTAAGGGTTAAGTAAAATCACTCTATAGGTCTCCATATCGCGAACGTTCTTCTTCTTCTGTTCTTATTTATATGCTTTTTACATAATATTATTTAATTGTTGTGACAAATGTAGTAATTTCTCCATTGAGAGTCGATAAATCGTTCTTTTTTTAAAATCATCAAAACCAGCGGTAATGTATTCACCGAGATTGCATTTTTGCCATTGGCAAAGCAATATCCTGGTAATCGAGATAACAGTGCAGAAAACGTAGCCACTTTCGCACAGAATAAGTCATAAAACGTCGCGTCTGCTATCGTTTTCCTTCTCATAGCTTACTATAATGGAGACTAAATTGGAAACTGAGGCGTTTCGATCTGTTTCGAAGGAAGAAGAGCTTCAGAGAGCCAAGTGGTATAAAGAAGACTTAGAGAAAGGCGATGGATGGACTGAAGCGGCCACGGGTCCCGGTTATACCTACTGGATTAAGACAATAGACGCTGACGAAGTTCCCATTAAGATAGTTTACACTATTGACATGCCCTTCCCCGCTGCAGTTTTTATGAAGTTGTTGGATCCCCAGAATCTAGCAGCTCGTACTGATTGGGACAAAGCTTTCGTCGACCATGAGATTGTAGAAGCCTACCCTAACAATGGCGGATATGTGACGTACATGCGAGCAGTTTTATCTTTCCCACTGGTAGACCGATCGTTCGTTTTGTATCTTCCACCAAGTACAGAGGTCGACTGGTATGGAAAACGTGCACATTTTTCGTTGATCAAACACGCATGGCACCCAGCAAAGCCCGAAGGCGAAGATGGCGTAGTACGAGCGACAAATGGTGGCAACTTCTACGTGGTGATGCCAGATGAGGAGCGACCAGAAGGTGCATGCAGGGTGTTCGGATTAACCAACAACCTCTACAATGGGTGGATTCCTAAACGTAACATGGAATGGATGCAGAGGAGAGTTGTACCCAAAAAATTCAACGAGTGGCGAGAAAATATGGTGGAGGGTTATAAAAAGTATTTTAATAATTGATGCAATTTCTGGTGACTTTTTTTTGAAAATTCGTTTAAAAAGTGCCCGTGTCCGTTGATGAAGAGTAATGAAACTACATATTTAAAACAGAAAAAAGGCTATATTACCGCTCGGTAATAAGTGAAAATTCGTGTCTATTCTTAAATGAAAATAAATGAATAAATAAATAAAAGAGTTTGTTTGATTACACTTGTTTTATCTCAGTACTGTTTATTTTTATTTTATTTTGTCCTCCCTGATATTTTTTTTGTTCGTTTTTTTTTTCGTTAATAATAATGTGTGAGAAAACCCGCAAGTTTGTAAAATGTTCATTCAAATTATAAAGATATTCTAGGCGGATCGGCTTTTCCTTTGAAAGTGTCCAGCAAAGTGCGTACTGATTTTCTCTTAATCTGAAGTTTTGTTAAATATAGGATATTGCCTGAGTTCCGAGGCCTTCTTAAAAAATAATGACCGAGCGCCCATACCCGCACCTTTCCATGGTTTTAGAACCAGCAGGTCATTGTTGTGACCACTGAAATGGAGCAGTAGGTTTTGTTATTAAAACAACCGGGCAATTTATTCAGAGAAAACAGAACCTTGAATACGTCGCAGCTGTGTAAGTGTTGGAACATTGCAGAATTATGATCAGAATAATTTGCCTGGTTGTTTTAACTACAAAGCCGATGTAGCTAATTTCACTTCCCACGTTCACCAAACTATGTTGAATAACGCAACAGTTATTGCATGCAACAATAGCTATAAGCAATTATGTTTTCTGGAATCTTTGTTAATTAAGAGGTATATACCTCAACTTAACTATGCCATTAAAGCTGTCAAAGAGCTTGTATTGTTTTAGCTTTAGATTTAATTTGAATTTCAGCATTTTTGTTGTGCTTTCCTCCACATTCTTGTCACAATTATTAGTTTGTTATTATTCAGTCACACCTCTCTGGCTAGCTCTCTTTATAAGTTCACCGCTTTTTCCATCTTGTATTTCACGTTTGACAATGGTCTTGAAATAAGAACCGAAATATTCTTGGTTTGCAACCACGTGACAAGGCGGCCATGTTGGGGGTCAAAACAAAAGAATATTTCCTCGAAGAATTTACATGAAAATAGAGTTTAGTTCCCAGAGGAGAGAAATGCTTTTGTTCTTGACCACCAACATGGCCGCCGTGACGTCACGTGCAAACCAGCAATTACGTTTATTTATTTTTTTGTCCAATCTTGCTTATACTATACTTTAAGTCAGCAAGATGTTTTTCGGAGTTGTTTTTGTATTATAAGAACTCATGTCTGACGTTCGTTTTTCCTTGTTTGTTTGTTTGTATTTTTGCTTTGTCACATCAGCCCTCTATTTGTAAAATGTTTATTAAAATCATAAGATATTTTAGCTGGATCAGCTTTTCCTTTTCGCTTTGAAAGCGTCCGGCAAAGTGCTCACTGGTTTTCTCTCATTCAAAGATGGTGTTAATAAGAGCTTAAAAAAAAGTCTGATGTTTGTTTTTCCTTGCGCTTTTGCTTTGTCATATCGGTTTTTTTCTTTGTTATGGTGATTGGGTGATGGAGTTCATTTCTATACTGGTTAACTTTACATTTATTCTCAGCTGTCAGCGTCTGGATCGATTTTGTTAAAGCGTTTTGTCTTTTGTCTTTTAGACAATTGATTAGTCCCTTCGTTCTCTTCAGTTTCAGCCGTTTAATGTCCGCCGTTGGACATTCGACATCCACCTGTTACGTCACCTATCTGGGTTCCCCCACCTCCATGTAAACAGGCCTCAAGTCTTCCTTCCATCTCGTCCTTGGTCTTCCTCGGTTCCTTGTGCCCCCGGGGCGTCCAGTACGTCAGTAATGCGGGATGTCCAACCGGTCCCTTCGTTAACGGGTTTTTTCGTTAACAATAGTTTTTTTTTTTTTTTTTGGGGGGGGGGGGGGGGGGCAGGAGGGGTCTGAGTAAATCTCAGCAGAAGCCTCTTCTTATAAACACTAGTTAGCTTAATTTTTTCTTTGAAATAAATTGATTCATCAAGTGGTAATAAACCAGTCCTGTTTTCTTCCTTAGCCGTCTCTCGTTTTACATTCTTATTTATTTGTTTAAGATTGCTCAAATCATGTCCAAGGAAGCACATCACTTGTTGAAAGTCAAACTCCCAGGTATTCCACTGAATATCTCCAGTCAGCGGGACCGGGACAGCCGACGTGAAGGAACAGGACAGGGCTTAATGTAAGGCCAGATAGTTAACCCTTTAAGCCCTAAGAGTGATCAGCATCAAATTTCTCCTTGTAATATCATTGCTTTGTAAAACAAAGTGGTCATGAGAATTATGGACTTGATCAAACAGGATGAATTTGCTTGATATATTATCAACTTCTCTCCACTACTTCCTTAGCAAATGAGTAGGGGCATAAAATGAGACTTCAGATTTTGATCTTAGGGTTTGAATGGTTAAGTAGACTAGCATGAGTACATGAGAGAACGGTGGAGTCTTGTAAGGTGGTTCTAACTTTTAAGTGTGTGGTTAAAAACTTATGGTGTGATCATTTTTAAATGATCTAAATTGTACTTTCACATGGTACTATCTATTTAGTATGTAGTTCTAACTTTTGAGTCTGTGGATGAAATCCTATGGTGTAACCACTCAAATGAAACCTCTTCAGTAGTACTTTCACATGGTACTATTTATTTTTTATGTAGTTCTAACCTGTGAGTCTGTGGACGAAATCCTATGGTACGACCATTCAAATGAATCCTCTTTAGTAGTACTTTCGCATAGTACTATTTATTTTTTATGTAGTTCTAACTTTTAAGTGTGTGGATAAAATCTCATGGTGTGACCATTTAATTGAAACCTCTTTGGCAGTACTTCTGTAAAGTCAAAGGGGCTGAGCTCTAGCAGCTCCTGGTGGTCCCTGGCGCGTTACTTTCGCTCTTGGGTGACAAGAAAATCTTAGCTTTTTCCTAGAAATCCTACACAGTAATTTCAAGGAGTTATAATAAGACCCTGTTTACATGGAGTGGGGGACCCCGGTCTAGTGGGGTAAGTTTCTTTTGCTTTGTGTTCCCCAGAGCGTGAAAACAAAAGAAACTTACCCCACTAGACCGGGGTCCCCCACTCCTTGTAAACAGGCCCTAACTCCTCTAGTGGGGTTAATTTAACTCCTTACAGTGGAGTTATATTTAGGGGAGTTATTTTAACTCCACAAAGGAGTTTAAAGAACTCTTTTTCAGGAGTAAAAATGAGCCTAGATATTCAGGAGTTAAAATAACCCCAAAAAAGGAGTTACCCTGTATCTGAAATTTTTACTCCACGTTCAAATTGACTCCAAAAGAGTAAAAACAACCCATGTAAGGAGTAAAAATAGCCCCATTTTCGGAGTTATTTTAACTCCAGACTGGGAGTAAAAAGAACTCTTCTTCAGGAGTAAAAATGACCCCAAATTTGGAGTTAAATTAGAAGTTAAAGTAACCCCAAAAAGGGGTTATCCTGTACTTAAAATTTTACTCCATTTTTGGAGTTATAATAACTTCCTAAAAATTACGAGGTATGCTGTGTTACGCCGCAAAATGTAACAATTGACGCAAAATGTAACTTTAACGCGAAATGTAACAACTTTTGACGCGAAATGTAACATGAACCCGAAATGAAACAACTTTTGACGCAAAATGTAACAGCTTTTTATCGCGAAATGTAACAACTTTTTGACGCAAAATGAAACAATATTTTTAACGCGAAATGTAACAAGCAAAATGTTACAGCCTTGAAATAACTGAGAGACTTGGACATGAGCCTTGTAGATAAAGTGTCAATTGTCTGGTGCTTGCAAAAACAGTTTATTTATAGTTTTCTTATAATGTCAAATAAACTTACAAAACGTTTTTCGATAATAGTAACTAAATCCTGAAACAGTCGAACGAATTGTTGTTTAGTATATCTCTCTGTACATATGTGTGACGCTGAAAAGAAAGTTGGCGTTTGGTATATTTTTAGTATACTCCCCCTAGGGAGTTGAGCCTGTATGAAATCGAGGCGAGTATCGATTACTGATCATTCTTTTCACACTTTCGGCGAGTGAAGACGCTTGCTGTTTTTATCCGATGCGGTCTTTTTTTACCCACCTCCTCCCCTTTTCCCTAAAAGGAAAGCGTAGCGCAGCAGTCATCCGACTGTGTGAGATGATCAGCAGTGTTAAATGGAGGACTGGGTTGGTATGAAATTTCTCACATTTACCGGAAGTCCGGTAAATAATGAGAAATTCATATCTATCTTATTGACTATGTTCAAAAGTTTCTTTTGAAAGATTTCCTTTCTTAACTTTTACTTTTAACTTGCATTTCAATTGCTGATTGGTGCGTGTTTCCTAGGGAGTTATTGTTCACATTTCTAGTCATATTCTTTTCGCATAGCTTGGGATATATTCCGTACGTTACGTTTAATAAGTTAGCTTTGTTGTTATTGTCCATACTGCTTTTCCAAGGTTATACATGACTTGTAACTTTATCACCTGTTTTACGACCTTTTGTAAGTTTGTTTGACATTATAAGAAAACTTAATAAATAAACTGTTTTTGTAATCACCAGACAATTTACACTTTATACCTACAAGGCTCATGTCCAAGTCTCTCAGTTATTTCAAGGGTGTAACACTTTGCTTGTTACATTTCGCGTTAAAAAGTTGTTACATTTTGCGTCAAAAGTTATTACATTTCGGGTTAATGTTACATTTCGCGTTAATGTTACATTTTGCGTCAATTGTTACATTTTGCGGCGTAACATGCTGGGTACCCTGCGTTTCACAAGTTCAGAGCACGGGGATTCCATCAATTTTCCTTAGAGCACAGCGTTGAAGTGCTATGAGGTTGTCAGCTTTGTACAAAATGAAATGCAGAGTTTTTCTTGAATTGTTATTTGGTTGCTCCTTGCAGTGATAGGGTTAACAGGGAAACTTCAGAAATCAACGAGAAAAAAGAATACAAAGAACACATTAGGCTGTTTTATACGCTCTCGAAATAACTACACTGTTTGTGACTCCCAGCTGAACATTTTCTGGAATTTTGGATCAAAATGATAATTATAATTTTAATATCATAGGTGACGAATTACTCCTTAATTTTGGCGCGAAATTTCAGCGTTAATTTGTAATTTCACGTGTGAAATTACAAAATTGCCATGGCAAACCTTCCGTACGTCTCAGTGTCAAGATGGCGACGAAGTTTTAAAATGCCGTGAATGAAGATGTCAGGGCACAAAAAGACGCTTTAGAAAACCTGAACACACAAGAGAACATCAAGAAGGATTCTAACAAGTATTTTGCCGAAATAGTCTGAAAAATTCTGAACTTTATAGGCCAAATTTAAGGTTTAAACATTTGAGAGAGTGGAGTCCTCGATCGATACGATCCAGGATAAACATGTCAAAAATCCAAGATTGCAAACGTAATTCGTCACCCATGATATTAATAGGTAATCAAATGGTATACTCATGAAATTAGGGAATAATTTCACTTGCGTTTTGTCCAAATCCTAATAATTTCCTGAGCCTTTTCACTCGTCACCATTTGATTACATATACTAATTATCTCTTCCACAAGTATTGTTAACTACATTGTCAATTAGGCGTGTTCTTTTGATTTTCATTTAGGCTTCTTGCAGAAACGTCCACTGGTGTTGTGCTATCAGGGACTGCGTTGTGGAAAAGAGGCAAGTTACTCAGAGTTGCAGATTCTGCAGGAACCGTGCATATTAACTATGAAATCTCCCACGTATATACTTGCATTCCCCGTGGGATAATTTTTTCTTTACTTCTGGACTGGAGGCTAATTTGACAGACAGATGACTCTATATTTATAATCCGAGAATTTAGACTGCCAGCTACGCAGGCTTCTAAGGTTGGATGTTATTGATATTAGGTATGAGTCCTGATGAGGTGGTAAATGCGGCAGTGAGGATGCTTCTCTTCAACGTGAACAGTGGATCATGTGTCGACGACATGTTACAGGATCAGGTGTGAAATAATCGCACTCATATAGATATTAGGGGGAGTGTCCTAGCCTATCCACTGACGTATTATTTTATTAATTTTTTCCGACGAATTTGGCGAGTGCAGAGCGCGAGAACGAGCTCTAATCCCTTGCGCTAGAGGTCAGTAAAGCCCGGCCCCTGCCGGTTGTAGTTTTTTTTGCGTACGCACGATCGACGCTCTCTAAAGAGAAAATGAAGGGTCTATTACCAGGCTAGCAGTGTCCCAAATCTACTCATAAGATACCCACGTCAAGGTTTGCTTTCCAAAACTCTAAGTTGGGTTGGAAACCTCTTTTCTGTCATGTATGTCATATGTTACAAGATCGCCGGTTTGAAGCAAGTCTTGTACATGATATAAAGCAAAGCCCCCCTCAAACCACCCAAACATAAATATGTTAACAAGGCTCCAATTTGCTAAGACCCTTACTTACATTTGAAAGCCTTTTACTGTGAAAAAATTAACATTGTAATCTCGACCAGGCGAGGTTTTTAATACTTACAACGAAGGTATCACCACGCCATATTTTTCTTGAAACCTATTTGTAATGATTCAAAGAGTGGATAGACGGCAAATTGTTGTTGCGAGAAATATCATTAGGGTTTTTTTAGGAAAATAATCCTGTCTTCTTTAATAATGCTTTTTTTTCCCCTTCGTTCGTTAAGTGCTATTTGTATTTCAGCGACCTTTTTAGAGGCTGTTGCGCAACTGTACAAGCGGTGTATTAGGAGATCAAAATTTAGTACAAGTTTTAGTTAGTCTGAGTACGAGTGACATTTCAGACCAACGTGTTAGTGAGTAATTAGGGGCTTAATACAGGTGGCATTTTTTTTATCTTCAGGCCATTCTATTCATGTCGCTGGCAAGTGGAAAGTCATCTTTGAGAGTATCCCACCTCAACAACCGATCAAAAGCTGTGATCAAAGCAATCGAAACCTTCACTGAGGTAATAGAATATACTCTGGAACGTGATACGGGAGAACTCTGGCTCCCTGGAAGTCCTGTGGCCAAGCTTACTTGAACGCACTATTAATCACCATCTACTGGAAATCTTAGTTTCGTTGGCTGCAGAATGTCAAGTCCTGGCTAGACTATCAAACTGTTTTTTTTTTTTTTCTCATTGCAAGAATAGTTGCATTACCTAAAACATAGAAAGAAAGCAGAGAAAAAGATAAGAATGACAATAATAATTGAGGCCACTACAGTCGAACCTCCAAGCCCACCTCTTTACAACGGTCATTTTTTGGCAGACACTCTCTACGTTGACTCTTGTTTAAACCTCTCTACAACGGCCACCTTCTTCAGTCCCATTTTTCCGTTCTTTAAGACCCGTTTTGTATTCAAAAGCTTTGCCAACCTGGCAAGGAGATATTAGACGATAGTTTTTTATCGTTACCGGGGATTAAGCGATATTCTTGTTTGGCGACAAGTCATGAAAATTTGCAAGAGGGAATAATCATTTATTAGCAAATCTGGCTAATGTTTAATCTTTAACCATCCCACTTCCCATTAAAACATATCACTTCCGTGTCCATTGCACCATCAAGGTCTAACTGCCGACACTGGTTATTTCTAACGTACTTTGAATGGTACCCGTATTAAAACAGTGCTTAGCCCTAATCACTGAACTTTGAATAAATAGTTATCTACAATAATTAGATAAGTGCTCACGCTTGACCTTGGTAATCAAACTTGAAAGAATATATTCTGGTCTCAAAGTCTCAGATTATAGTTCTGTAGCAATAAACATCCAGGAGGCCATAAATATCAGACGCCAGGGTCCAACCCTAAACAGCTATGAGGGTTATGAACTTCACGCGATTTTTAATCATTTGTTGTCACGTGATTAATTCACGTGACAACACAGCTTTTATTGCTGATGAAGACTGTGCAATACAGTCGAACTGAGACTCTGAGACTAGAATTTTTTTATTCCAAGTTATCTACTATTATTATTGCCTTGTGTAATAACCATTAGGTGTTCAGGCTCGTCCAGTCCAACACGAGTTTCCCTTCCTATATGCTACATTTCCAATATTGCTGCATTGTTATTTTCACAGGTTAAAATTAATGTTTCACCGGCGGAAGTAGGAAAGGGAACAAAGACGAGACGAAACATTTTGATTGAATGTGAAGGCCAAGGGCTCATTAACGAGGACATCGTTCCGCCCGAAGACAGCCTCGAAAGAGTTGATACAACGGTGTGAAGTATCCTTCAAAAGAGACCGCCGATGTTTGGGCTGTCATACTCGGTCTAAACCAGAAGGAGCCCCTTGTATAAAGCGTTTTCACTCACTTGGCCAGCATGTATGCAAATTCGTGGGAACAAAAGAAATTGCTTACATACGAAAGGAGTTCACCTCCCACAGGATTTGTTTGGAACACAAACATTGCCGCCGCTTTATTGTTTTGGAACACCAATATGGCCGCCGTGATGTCACGTGAAAACGCTCTATTGGACTATCGGTCGTGCCACTGATGGCCCAATGGTTGGCCTTTCAGTCATTTCGCAACAACAATGCTATGCTGAGGTATCCTTGTTGAAGGCCCGTGTGTATGTCACCCAAGAAACAAAGTGGTCAACTCAGGTTCTGAAATCTTTACGACATGCGAAGAACGGAAAGAAAAAAAAAAGTTTGTTTACATCTCATTACTAAACACTAATTCGTGGCATGTCGTTCGCATTAGCGGGATTGTCTATGAAAAATCGAGCTCCGAGCGTTTATTTGGTATTTCAAGTCACAGAGGGGCTTGCAGTTCCAGTTCTTGTTGTAATTTGAAGTAGTTATTGAGGCCTTGAATCTCTTTTGAAAGCTTCTTACAGGGCCTGTCATGTTTGATTTTTTTGGATAAGTAAAGAAAATAAAACGGAAAACTGGGATGAACTGCAAAGAATAATTCTTAAAAGTTATAGATAAATTTTAATAGTATGTTATCTAAATCGTGGTGTATTGTGGGAAGCTAAAAACATGTGGTGCCACTTTCCCACTGAACCAGTGAAAATTTCCAACCAAAGCCGCAATCGTGTAGTCGCTGGCTCGATTGAGTTTTCCCGCACGAGGTCACCCTCATATGTTTCCTCCGAGTTCCACTCGTGTTTTGCTTAATAGGTAAAATAGCTACTGCGGTATTGATTTTCTCGGGTAGTCAATTGAATTTTTTTTTTGCTGTTGAAGCTTTGAGAGTACTTGCATGTCATATCTTTCTTCACCTATGTCTTTTCACTTAAGACTAATGAGTGGTGCTTTTCTTTCGATATCGGATGTGACTTGCCAAAAGTATACGACATTGTCAGTTGAATTACACTTTAATATAGCCCGTGCCAATAAATTGCCAAATAAAACGCCGACACAAGGAAGTCGGTTAACTAATCAGTGTCCTTTTCGATTGGTAATAAATTTTGTTTCCTTCAAGTAACGAAGTTGAAAGCAAAAAGATGCTGAGAGGTCATTAAAGATAAAATAAAAGATCTTATTTATCTTTGAAGTGATGTCTTGATCAATTTGATTGGTGACCTCTAAGATTGATAAGGTAGTGATATGAAAGGAAGAAAGGTGATGATGGTCATATGTGGACGGTGTTAAATTCGCAGACGTTAAATGCTTAAGACGCAAAGGATATCCGCTAAATCTTAAAGGACTGCATGACTTCAAAACCTTTGCTCACACGATCAAGGGAAGCCTATACTGAGTTACGTAAGTATTCATATTTTTCTAAGAATTTTTACTTTTCTCGTTTCCTTGCAGTCATAATTTTATCTCAGCTGCTAGGAAAATTTTCCACAGCAGTTGATACTCTTCCTAGTTTCAATTTCTGTCCGTGAGAGTACCTCGTCGAAGCTCGCTTTTTTCTCGCGGAAGCACTCTTTTATTGTTAAAACTACGCTTCGAACAATCGTCTTCCGATCTAGATAAATACGCAACTTGAGGAGTTCTTGCGTGTGATTCCGTGATTCTTAGTCCCTTCGTCTGTAGAAATCGTTTGACAGAGACGCAGGTTGTGAAGAAGCCAATGTTTGTTAAAGTAAGTCAAACATCCATTCATGCGACTTGCAGTGGTTAAAATATTAAATTGTTTTCCTGCGAAGATGACTATCTAGTAATTGTACAGACTTTAGTTTGTGGTAACCATGAACACCTTTAATATTATCAGTTGCTACTTATTTAGTGAAAGTTCGAAGGACTGAATGGCACTCCGCGGACAAGACCTTTTAGCTTTATTTTTGTGACCCTTTTGTGTAATTGAGACAATTAACGAGCGGCATTAAAATGGGGAAGTAGAGAGATAAGTGGAAAGCCGGAAACACCTGTTTGCAATTTGGGATCATTTTTGGTCTCAAATAAAGCCGCTTCCTCGACATCATCCTGAACGTCTCGATCGCCCAAGTCTCGGGCGACAGCGACGATCATATCAACATGTATATGAGAACACCTCTGATAAGGTGGTTCTATCTGTGTGACTCAAGGATGGGCCCAGTGGATACAACCGTAAATGACCGTTGTGTAGGTACAGGTTTCTACGTAGTCGTGCGGATCGTCTAATATCGAGACGACCCGGACGGGGCTTAACCTTTTGTAAAATCTAAATCGATTATGTTTTGAACTTTTTATCCTTCAGTTTCGACAAACAGAACTTTCGTGCGGGGGAACAATTTTTTGTCAGTACATTTTAAAAGATGCTACGAAGAAGTTTGGTTTTCTGCCTGGTAATTGCAGTTTTCCAAGGGCTGGTGTTGGTTAAAGGTGAGCAATATTCGACCAGTAACCGTTTTGTGTTTATACAGTAGGCCCCAGTTTTTCAAAAGGTAGCTAGTGCTATCCACCGGATAAATTTCTTCCTAGCGGATAACGCAATTGTTTCCCGTAATACTTATCCGCTGGATAGTGATTTGTCCGGTGGGTAGTGCTATCTAACGTTTGAATAACCTGGACGGGATAATCAATATAGCATAATATGTTTTTGTGCTCCATTTCGCTCTGTCGTATGCCATTTTGAAAAGTAAGCGTTATAACATAGTGGATTAATGCAAAGCACGGAAGTGAGGGTGAAAAAACTAGTATTCTTGAATTCCCCGCACCCAAAAAACTGACAACCAGAAATGCGGTGCGGGATAAGTAGACAATTCTTAGCCCATTTATTGAACTAACCAACTAATCACAAAACAAAAACAACTGTTTCCACTGTTTAGACACCAAAAAATCAAACAAACTGTATACGTTTGATCCGGCCAAAGTAAATGAAAAAACAAAACCACTTATAATAACTGTCAACCATCAGGAAAACACAACTAAAATCGTTACGAGGAAATGGATTACAGGATTTCAATCGAAATATACAAAAGAACAAAATTTAACTGTCCGCTTGTAAAAATCCACAATGAAACTTGTTTACTGTTCAGCGAATATATACTTGCTACTTTACATATCACACTTTCTTCTCATAATCTCATGCCGGCACTTAAAACACACTGCCGACGAATGCACCTGTGCTTGGGAATTCAAGAAACCATTTATCTTTTGTTTCATTACGCTTCGCTGCATTCAGGCAAAGATAAATGAACAATTCTTGAATTCCCCGCACCCAAAAAACTGACAACCAGAAATGCGGTGCGGGATAAGTAGACAATTCACAATCAGCGGCAAAAGCATATAAGGATACAAAAAAAAGGCAATGTTCATTAAGCAAACGTATTTACTGTATAATAAATAGCTAATCGCTTGTATACCATAAGGGTACTGTCCAAAAATCCTCAAGCATATCCACCTGCGGCAAGGATACTATGTCGTCAAGCAACGTTAAGCCATCAGAATTAATTGGGCAAACGTAAATCTCTACATACTGCTGCATACAACACAACTCGCGCAATGTTTATCAAGCAAATCACAAACTGAAAATTAAAGAGCCAAATTTCTAGATACCACAAGGGTATTTTCCAAAGATTCATCGACATAACCATCTGCGGCTTGGATACTGCGCCAACCACCATGTCTACGCCATACTCTCCCAGAAACTCCGCTGCGTGCTGCTTGGGAAGCACCACCTGAACGAAGGCTATGTAAACCAAATTCGTTCGAGTCTAAACCAAGTTCGGAAATCATTTGACGAAACTGTTCCCGTGCCCGAGAATATGACAGAGCAGCTTGTCGCAGCTTGTACCCGGCACCCAATTTCTGGCAGAGACAAAATAATGACTGAGATGGTTGATGCTCTCCGCGCTCAAGGAATAACTCTAACAGTTTCACTGGACAAGAGCTGGAAGGTAAACGAGCAACTTTAACCACAGATCCCTGACGGAATTGATCGTTCTTACGCCTGTCTAGGAAAACAGACATGTGGGTGGGGCAAAACCTTAAGTCACAGGCACGTAAGTCACGCAGCTCTGACCAACGTAGGAAAGCACAAAAACCAAGCGCAACCAGCGACACCATTTGTAGGTTCGGTAGAGAAGCCCGAGGGTGACCATAGGAACGAATCAGCGCCCTGACGTGATGAGATTCAATAGCCTGCTTTTTCCTAGATGGACCAGCCAGGAGGCGTTTAAAGCCAGCCAAGGTCTGAGAAACGAGCGGATCGTCGACAGGATTAGGACATCCAAGTTTCTTATGTAGCCATGCAATGCCATAAGCTGCTCCAAGGATTGACGAGCGAGATAAGCCTCGGTCTGAAAGACTAGTTAAGTAGAGAGCAACTGCGGCTGGGTTAGACTGTAAAGGAGGAAACGAGTAACACTTGCACCAGTCAATCCATCGATTGGCTGCCCCTGCATACGAAGACACGGTTGAAGCGGCACAGTCATTAAGTATGACAGTCTTTAACAGTTCTACAAGCCTCTGAATCTCCGCGTTGCTCCGTTGGTAAGGCGACAAGCCTAAAGTGAAAATCAACAATGTCCAAAACATGGCACTTTAAAGACAGGAACAACATCCAATTGCTACAGAACACTAAACGCGCAAGATACACATCGTCTGCAACGAGAACTGCCCACATGGCAAGTTAACACAGCAACAGTACACACTCCAGCACAAGGAGGCTTGGCCCACTCGGCGTCAACTGGTAAGCAAATCCACACAAAGGATAGAGGAGTCCACTTGACTCTAAAACGAACACACTACTGTGTCGGCAGTAGTGCCCTCTCGGCTTGCTTCAGCTGCACAACTCGTGCGTACTAGTACAGTTCCAAGTCCACTGACTTGCAAAGAGCAAAGGCCCACACCTAGGCCAAAAAGGCTCAGACAGAACAAAAACAAATAATTAGGATGAACAACTCGTTCAAGGTACTCATCTAAGACGCGAAAAACGTTCTACAGCAAAACTAAGGAAATACAATTCTCAAAGCAAATACCCTACACGAGGGAATACCATGCCCGAAAAGATCCGCGGCTGCGGAACGAGGGAGAAAAGTAGACTCATGTAAAGGAATCTCCCGCCAGTCAAGAACAAAAGGGTGGAAAACCCCGGGGCTTCGAGACACCAACGGCCACCAATGAGCAGATTGCCAAAAGGGGATAATGAGAGTGCCCTGCTCTCTACCCAGTTTCATGTGATTGATAACCCTGGGAATAAGGAACACTGGGGGGACCAACCAATTGTTTTCCCCTCCCCAGCTGACGGTAAAAGCATCAACAGTTTCGGTCCCAGGACACCACCATCGAGAACAAAACCTGGGCAACTGGAAAGAATTATGACTCGCAAAACGATCTACAGTGTGGGTCCCCACAGAATATCCAACTGGCGAAAATGGACAGGGTTGAGCATCCAATCATCGGTGTCGACAACTTTCGACCAATAATCAGCTTTGAAATTAAAGTGGCGAGGTATCCACTCCGCAGAAAAGCGAATACCGGCTTCATGGCACAAATTGTAAATGGCAACCGCTTCTTTTTGCAAATGAGGCTTACTACTGCCGACGGACAAAATACTGCAGACGCTCTGATTGTCAGATCTATGCTTGCACTCCTTACCCGCCAAAAGACCGGAAAACGACTGAAGAACAAATCTAATTGCACGAATCTCGTGGAAAGAAGAGCTGCATAGGGCCTCGGAACCCAACCAGTTCCCTCTAGCGATATGCGTACCAAATTGAACAATAAATCCCGCCCAACCCACATTGCTGGCATCCGAATAAGACAAAAGCTCTATCTTCGGGGAGGGCCTCCAGATTGGTTTGCCGCACAAACGAAAGAAATTATCTCTCCAAAAATTAAGTTCCTCTACAGCTTCACGCGTTAAAGCCACCTTGCAGCTAAGGCTATGAACGCTATTAAGGACTGCGTACAAGGCTCGGGTGCGCAAACGCACAACTGGACCTAAAGCGAGCTCCATGGAAATAAGGGTACCCGTAAAACGAGACACATCCCTAGCCGTGGGTGAAACATCGTCAAGAAGCAGTGAAATCAGATTAAACAGGTGATCAATCTTGCCTGGTGGGATACTAAATTCTCCTTTGGTAAGGTCCAAAATAAAGCCTAAGTGCTCCCCTTTTTGGCGCGGTTCAAAATTGCTCTTCTCCTCATTCACTAGCAGGCCAAGGCGATCAAGATCGCCTCGCACTAGTTGCGCTTCCTGAGAACACGAATCTTTACTTGAATCGGTGCCGATACCGTCGTCCAAATAGACAGAAATCCTAATGCCTTGTGACCGCCAGTGTGAAACAACTGGTCTTAACAATTTGGTGAAAACGTAAGGAGACGTACTTAAACCAAAAGGAAGCGAACAAAACAAAAAATAGCGTGGCTTACCATCGAAAGTAAACGAAAAAGCCAAATACTTCCAATGCTCTTGAAAAATGTCAACATGATGGTAGCCATTACGAAGATCGAAAGTAAAAAACCAATCACCTGGCTGAAGAATTTCCGCCACGACTCGAAGGTCTTCGAACTTAAACTTACGCTTGGCTAGGTGCTTGTTAAGAAAGCGAAGGTCGAGAATCAATCGAAGTTTGCCATTCTTTTTAGGAACTACACCTAAGGGACTGCAAACATGAACTTGGTCACGCTTGACTTCCACCGCGCTACCTGCCAACAACAATTGCTCGATAGCTTCACAAACAAAAGCTCTATTATCAACAGCGCTTTTATGATTACTAAAGAAATACTTCAATGGAATTGAAACAAATGGTAACTTATAACCGCTTTCAATAACACTAAGAACAAAAGAAGAGGCCCCAATAGAACGCCAAACATGCAAAAACTTGCGCAAGCGGCCTCGAATCCAAAATACTGAGGAAACGCCCGTGTCAAGTTCAGCCTCGCCGCGTTCCGAAAATTCGTCAAAATCAGAGTCAGCTAGTCATTTAGCGGAAGAGGAAACTTTACAATCCTTGATGAAATGGCCTGCTTTGCCGCAACCAAAGCAGCGATAAACAGAAGCTTTTTTCTCCGGTACAGGATTAACCAAAAGCTGACCGACATCCGGGCGAAAATCCACGATTCTATGTGACTGGCCAAAATTTACTCTGGGGCCGCTTTTGAAAGATGTAGACTGAGACTTAAAACGAGTTCCCATTTTGCTTCTCAAGCTATTTTTTCGATTTCGCTTCTCCCGAGACCTCTCTGCTTCCTTGCGCGCGACACGCAGTTTCTTTTCTTCTTTCGTCATTTTTATTCTACCACGTCCCAGCCGTGTCGGTCAGCAATAGAAATAAGCTTATTTCTGTTATCAAGGAGTGACATACCTTCTTTGGCAATCTTAGTGATGGCGTCATCCGCCCCAGCCCTCTCTAAAATCTGGTTGAACTTATCCTTGACGTCAGTGTTGAACTTGAACTGTTTCTTGTTACTCTTATATTTGAACTCGGGCTCCTCCTCCGCAGACTTGCGTTTTAATGAGTCGAGCTGTTCCATGACAAACTTGACCTCTTGCGTTTTCGTCTCCAAGGCCTTTAAGATTTCCTTCGCCCACGTTGGGGGCTCAGGGCTGCGAGAAGCCGAGCGACTTCTACGGTGCGAACGCTCGCGGACACTCCTTCGCGAAGGCGAAGAACTACGACCAAAACCGCTTGAAGCTGCAACATGTGAGCGAGAACTACGACGGCCTGAACTTCGATGTTCTCTTGACCTGGACGGCCGGACAACAGGGTCTTCAATGTCCGCGTTGACTCTCGAAACACGAGAACGAACTGAAGCCGGGCGACCACGACGGCCCCGCGCCATGTGGACGAGATAGGAAGAACGAGCTAAGAATTTAACTGTCCGCTTGTAAAAATCCACAATGAAACTTGTTTACTGTTCAGCGAATATATACTTGCTACTTTACATATCACACTTTCTTCTCATAATCTCATGCCGGCACTTAAAACACACTGCCGACGAATGCACCTGTGCTTGGGAATTCAAGAAACCATTTATCTTTTGTTTCATTACGCTTCGCTGCATTCAGGCAAAGATAAATGAACAAATACTTTTTATAAGGCTAGATCTGTGTCTAGGCAGGAGGAAGAGAATCATGTGTTCTGATTGGCCACCCGGACGGGCAAGAGGATTCATCTTGCTCGCGCGAGATTTCTCGCTTTTGTTTTCATCTAATTTTGTCTTGCTACATACAAACGCGAAAAAAAAGACTTGACCTCACGCTTGGTCAATAACGCATTTAAATTTGCCCTGGAAGCACAGTGTTTTGCATGTACACTTTGACACCGTAAGCTTGGCTCTCAAATATTTTGTTTCAAAGTTACATTGCCAAGGGTGGTTAAATACAATACTTCTTCCCGGTTGCCTAGTCCGTGGGCCTTCGCGGCCAAAGCGTTTCGGGTCACGTGGTCCAAGCCTCGGCTACGTCACCGAAGTGAATTGACCGAGAGGGACTAGGAAAACGCCATACAGGGACTAGGCAATCTCCTTGGCACATTGCTGAATTGTTTTATTTTTGTATTTGCTTGTTACTTCTAGACATTCGGCTGAAAATAAGCAGGATTACTAAGTATACGTAAGCCTCTCTAAGAGGGGTCATTCACATTACGTCGTTCCTCATCTGAAAGTAGCGCGCGCTATAGCCGCGAATTTCAAGTTTAGGGAGATAGTTTTCCTTTTCGGCCAAGGTACCACAAAAAAGTGGTCTTCAGCTGCAAGTTTCTAATTAAGTTATTTAGAAACGCTATTTCATGAGGGTACCATTTTCGAGTGCTTAACCTCTTCATCGTTTCCTTTACATGTGTAGCCCGTCGTTGTTCCGAAATGCTGAAAGATAAGCCTTGTGTGGGTAGGTAAAAGATCGATTTTTTTATTTATTAATTTCTATTTCTATTGGAAAAATAACCAACCATTTCCATGGTAATGGTGCTATAGCATTCAGGTATTGAAATGGGTATTTTGTTAGGAAGCGGTCGATATATCGGCCCGCGGCCCGTCAGCTGGTACGCCCTCGCACTTAAGGTGACGCGACCCAGTTTTTTTGGGGGGGTACCATCCTACTTTGAAGCTCTCTGGTATCCCCACCTTTACTTTTATCTTTACTTTTATCGTGACCATTCGGAAGTCAGCCAAGCGCGGTCATTGCACGCGTGCTGAACAAGAATGCTGTATAATGACAGACTAGAAACAATAGACAACTCCCAAAGCGCAAACTCAGCCAAAACGCTAAAAATCTTCAATGTTTACTCAAGTTTGGGCTTATAGAAGATAATATCACAGTTTTTCAATGACCATGAAATTCAGAGTCCGGGTAGTTAGTTAATCAATTGTGGCCCTGAAAAAATTTGAAGGAAAAAAAACTACGAATTTTTAAGAAAATGCTTTTTTCGTGAGATTGACTCTTAAACGCCGACAAACGTCAACAAATAGCGAAAACTATAATTTCTATGTTTGCTTTGCTCGAAATCGTGCGCATTTACAAGGTCCTAGAGCGTTTTGCTGACTTGCAAGGACCCATCTGTTATAAGGATGCTCAAAATACAGAGATGAATCTCATAGTTTATTAGATATAATCCGTGTAAAGTTTGCTTATCATTTTCGCGTAAATTATGACCTAAATTTGGAAACCGCTGAATTTCTCGAATTGGGTCTTTGCGATTTTGGTGAAACTCTGTTCAGCGCAAGGCACTAATGCGCACTATGTGTAGCCGAGAGATTTTCACGAAAAAGTGCTGGCAACAGCAGATTTTCGACTCAGACCTCAAAGGGGCGTGGCATTATAACCACGTGACATTTACTCCGATCGCCAAAAATTTTATGTTATATTGTAGATTGATCTATATGTTATCCATTCTATGTGTTAGACTTACGATAAAAGTAAAGGTGGGGATACCAGAGAGCTTCAAAGTAGGATGGTACCCCCTAAAAAAAACTGGGTCGAGTCACCTTAAGCCCACGCGAAACCAAGGCACAGGACCCTGCTTGCAGGTTAGAACAAATAAAATAGTCACCGCTGTCACAGTAAGGGCGTTGCTGGTGGTATCTGTGTAATAAAGTAGAATGTCGTTCAAGGAAATTATTATATTTTAGTATTCTAAATTGCTTTAAGTTGTTATCAAACGAAAACGACGTTCGAGAAGTATCCCTTTGTAGACCATTAATCCTGTTTCCCTTTGGTAGGAGCCTATTTCCTAACTTTGGCGAATAATGCTACAGAAACCGTGTTGGATGACCTGTGCCAGCCGTGCATCGAATACTAAGAGTTCTAATATTAATACTTTGTGGCATTCTAGGGCTACTTATCTTTCTCATGTATTCCTTTACGAAAGCAACAGACGTTTTCTGTGTCTACAACTATCCAAACTGATGTTTCGTTTATGTATCTCAGTCCAAGGAAGACTCCCGTTGAAACTGCGGTGTGGTCGTAAAACTGGAGAGTACTTTCAAATAAAGAGCCTTTCTGCCGAGTACCTTCCAGGGATCTGGTCCAAGTTGCCTGAAGCCCAGCCCCTTGCTTACGAGGAGTGTCGACTCAACCGTGGCCTTGACATCAATCTTGAGTACTCCTGTTCGGTGACTGCAAGAAGTCTGTGTCCTTATGCTGATCAAATGAGAAACGTTAAGATTGAATATTTCTGCTGGGAAGTTGGTAGGTAGAACCCCTCAGTTATTGTAGGCCTGGGTCATAGACCACGCGAAGTCCCTTATTTCTTGCAAAGATTGTATAGTATCAAATATTAAAAACACTAAAGCCCCATTTACACGGCAGAAAATTTTTGGTGCGGCTCGGATGAAAGTGGTACGCGTACCCAAAAAATAGTACTGATTACTCATTTACACGTTCTTTTTTCTACCGTGCTAAAAGATGGGAAATTAAGATTTGGCACGGGTAAACGGCTCAACATCTCGGCCAGCGTACTCGATTCTTGCCTAGTGTGCATGCTGCTTCCTCTGTAAGACATGGCGGACGAAAAGTTCTTAGAATTCCCACAGCTGCATGTAGTCTACGCACAATGAACAAGTGGGTGGTCATTGAACTACTGGTGTGGTTATTGAACTATTGTGTGGTTATTGAACACATTGAACTAACGAAAAAGTATTTACCACTTAGTTAATGCTACAGATTTATGTTAAAAAATTCTAACGTATTTGTGGCTATTTCCTCCTCAGCTGCATGATGACTACGCTCATCAATGAACTAATGTGTGGTTATTGAATTTCTGGTGTGGTCATTGAACTACTGTCGTGTTTATAGAACTTTTGCGTGGTTATTGAACTAACGAAAAGGCTCATTTGCACATGCTCTCCCACATTGGTGCTGACCAAAGGCACGAAGGCTCATCAGAGAAAAGTTAGCTCGGCACGGCTAATCGTTTACACTGCACACTTTATCCGAGCTGGGCTAGATTTTCAGGATCGCGTACCAATTTTATCCGTGCTCGGACTACTTCTCGACATGGTCCGAGCACGGGTGAAATTTTGGTACGGCACGGATGGGGCAAAGTCGTTTGCACGACTAAATCTATCCGTGCCGAACCAATTTTTTTGGTACGCGTACTTTGTTCATCCGAGCCGTGCAAAAATTTTCTGCCGTGTAAATGGGGCTTAAAACTGCTCTCTAAAACTTCATATTTTGCCTCTTCCTTATATCCTCCCTTTAACTTGACGCCGAATGCTCACGAAGGAGAAAAATACCCTAGCCTTACCATACTGTTTGTTTTGCAGATCCTGAACTCCTGAAAGGCTTCGCCATTTCTAATCCCAATGGATGGGCAAAGTGAAGCGAGAAATGTACACGTATATTTATAGTCTTTCCATTTGCGAAATACGTTTATGGCTCATAAATTTCTATAGACTGGTTTTCTAAAGCATAACCTGTAAGTGGACTGTCTAACAAAGTGCAATAAAGTTGAAAATTTAACGTCCTGAGTTGAAGTCTACAGCAAACGTTTGGCGGACTTGGTCCCCCGCGCATGGGCTGAGAGGTTATCAGCTACTTTTATGCTTTTTTGGACAACTCTTGCATGCCTTAAACTGTTGCCTATATCCTTCCCCAGACCCTAGACCGTAAGCTCACGTTAAATATTGCTCGTAGGTCTTTGGGGCTAGGAATTACGAATTTTGGCCTGCGTTTCGTTTTCTCGTGCTGAGTAACACTGAGGACCGACTAAGGCTTTCCTGCGGTGCTGTTTATTATGCATTATACGTAAAATATGAAAAATACAAAAAGGAAAAGAAAGTAGAAATAGAAAAATAGTAAAAAAAAAAAATTGGGGTGTTATTTAACGAGACATGCATTACACAAGGGTTTCTTGACGTGTATTTGTCCTCTATGGTCTGAGGCTATGTTCTTGTTAGATGAAGACTTCAATATAAGACAAATAAAGCTAAATAAAAACTAAACATGCAACGCTTACGAGTCTTGATTTAAATTGATAAATAAATCGTATCCGGAGCTCTTCCAGACAATACCAATGTTTATATTTGGAGTTCGTCAATGAATAATTGATATTCGACAACTGTTAGTTCCAGATGGTTTGGCGGTAACGTTACAATAGAATGGTCAAATAATTGACTGTGAAGTTCAACAGACAGAGCCAAGACTGTGTTAGCAACACCAAGATGATTGTGTCCTGACGGCAACAAACTTTGACATTCAAATTCCTTGAACTGTATGGCTTGAAGGAGGAACTCCACCAAAAGAAAATTCAAGCGGCGTTAATATGATTGCATCGTACATCTTGGTGAGTTCTGTACTTTAAAATTCATTGTTAACTTCCGAAAGTTAAAGAAAACAACTTGAGCTTATACTTAAGTTATGTATAGAAATGAAGTTTGAGCGTTGATATTTCATGCCAGTTATCCGTACTTATCTGGCCCGTCTTCCTTGAATTTTAGGGATTATTAATAGGAATGTTTTACTTAAAAAAAATCTTTTCTTTTTTTGATATTTTGTATATCGTTTCTTAACGATGATGATGTTGATGACGTTTCTAGAAAAAAAAAGAAAATCTGTATTAATGGATCACAGTTAGGCATGTTTATGGTATTTTACATTTAAGCCAGTCCGTGGTATTTTCGAAACAGTTTTAATGATACGGGAAAATCTCAAGTAAGAACACAATATTTGTTCACCGCTACAAGGTACAATGAATTTTAGAAACATATCGGTAATTCCATATTACTTATAAATATTATGATCAGTTCCTGTACCAGGCTGTTTTTAGAACCGTTGAAAAGTTTTCTATTTTCTCGGCCGCAAAAGGCAATTTATCTTCATATCCTGATATTTTGTTTATCTATAAATTCAATCATGTTTCAAGATATTTTACTCAGTATGTTGAGTTACAATGAAAATGAATCCATCCAACATGGGAAATTATAGGCTGCATCATGAATACAAACTACAAGCACTGTTTGAAGTATATCGAATACCCCATTGTATCATCGAATATACCAATGCATCAAAGTCAGACTTCATTGTGAATGATAGGTGCTCAGCAATTTTTGCTTTTTTCGGAGGTAAACTTAGGTTTGTCTCGGTATCTGTCGCAAATCCAAATTCTGATCCCATCCGCTTTGTTTCTTTGTTTCTGGTCTCTAAATACAGTCTGTAGATAAAACCCTAAAATAACACCATATAGGGCTCTCAGCCTCGTGAGAAGTGGTTTATTTTGCTATTAAGTCAACTTTCACCTTGCCAACACCGCGAGTATTTAGTGGACCTCCCAGCTTTTCTGTTGCTTATCATCAATTAAAATTCATTTCTTTCCGCTTTTTACAGCCAGCTTCACAGTCTTTCCGCCTTGAATGATTCTTATGAATATTTCCTGCCTTTGGATTGGCAATGCCTAAAAAGAAGCTATCCTGTATTATTTCGCATTTGTAAGATCTCAAGAATAATACGCGCGCGCAAAGAGATCAGCGATAAACCGTAAGACTTGATTTCTAGTTTTCTCTCCCTCAAGAGGTCGTCCCAGTTGGGACGAAACATTCACCGGCGAAAACACTGCAGACAAAGTTTACAACAATAACCAGAGAGATTTGCTCGAATTCCTACCGAATCATTTCCAGAAGGATTTGAATTCCCCACTTTTGATCGGCTAGAACAATTTAGTTCCATGCGTTCGCTGCAGAGTGTTTGTCCTTCCATCCCAAGGATCAAACTAGGAGTTTCCAGTTCTTGAAAACCTACAGGGTTCACAAAACTCAATCATAAATTTGTCACAGTCCTACTGACGTAACACTGCATCGAGGTGCAACCATTTTAACTATTAGGCTAGATTTCTTTTGTTTTCAGGTGGCATTCGTACTGCTGTCAAACGTCCCAACCTGTTACACATTCTACAACGTGTCGTGTATTCCAGAAGGTACAACGTTTAGCTGTTTTTATTTGCCATATGTTAACATGCACATCACACGTTCTTGGCGTAGTTAATATTGCCATTAATTTTTAGTGGGGAAAGTTTGGTTTATCCGTATAGGGCAGGCATAAAGAGAATTTGTACATGCGTGAATCTTCAGAGTTTTGGAAAAACTGGGAAATAGTTTCAATTTGGAAAATAAAAACAGTTCTATTTGCCATATGTTGACATGCTTCTCACACATTCTGGATATAGTTAATACTGCAATTAAATTTCAGTGGGGAAAGTCTGGTTTATCCGAATAGAGCAGGCATATAGATTTTTTTTTTTTCAAGCGGGAAACAAAGAAAACGCAGGTGGAAATAAGAATTATGATCGCTGTTTTAGAACGTATGCTATTTGCTGCAGAAGTCACAAGCGTTATATCCAGGGTTAAGAGTACGAAAAGGAGCTACTTATTCAAGATTCGCTCCATGTAAGGGAATCCAAGACAGTCTTGAATTCTGGATTCCACGTCGTGGATTCCGGATTCCAGGTACTGAATTCCGGATTGCTTATCAATGGAAAACAATGGCTAACGGGATTGCGAATTCCTTGAGCTGAATTACGGATACCAGGCCCAGGATTCCGGATTCCGCACGTAAAAATTTTTAAGAGTTCGGAATCCAGATTTCCTTATATACCCGGTAAGATAAGGGGGAAAAGAATAATATACAGCTTTGTTTACCTCCGGCTCCTCCACAACAACTGGGCGACTGGTTGATTGACTTTGATTGCATTCTATAGTATAAGGGGTCTCAGTATCTCTTTTTTTTTAAAGAATGCGGCTTTAGGGTTAAAATCAAACCCTACCCTAACCCGAACCCGAACCCGAACCCGAAACCGAACCCTAACCCTAACCTGAACCCAAACCCGAACCCGAACCCGAACCCGAACCCGAACCATAAAAAAGCATTCCGCTTTTAAAAAAAAAAGATAGACGCCGACCCCGCCCCCGGTCCCGATCCCGGCCCTGTGTTTTATTGAAAACCTAATAAATCACTTTAGCGCTTATGTTGTCCTTTCCTACTGTGTGTCATTTGATGATCTCGAGAGAATTGGTGCTTAGTCTTGTCATAAATTACTAGTACATATGACCGAGGATAAGTTCAATTTAGAAGGAAGCAGCTCTTATAGAGTAACTTCACATGACCAACGTCGAGGAAATAAAACTAACAAACTATAAGGAGGTCTATTGTTTCTGTGACAACGATGTTTCTTATATCCTGGTTTCCCGCGAATTTCTTGATACTCGATTCAACAAAACACAAGCGCGCAAGAGCGCACGGGAAAGGAAATAGTTTTGCTTTCTTGTGCTTTTTTGTCTATGCCTACAGTGATCAAGAAATGAGGCATATACCTTCAAATGTCTCTTGCGCTCTTCCCCCACCAGGTTGCGTTCCTTGTGTCCTTCGACCCTGCAAGACACACCCTTTTTCATGTACCGGTGAAAAATGAAAGGTCATGAAAATTTCCGCGCGGTTTCGTTTTCGTAAAGTTTAAGAAAAGTTGAAGTGTCTTGTGTAAATACCTTTTGAAACCAACCGTTATTCCTGAAAGCCCACAGAAAACGGAGAAAACCTACCTTTAATTAAAACGTTGCAAGCCAAACGTTTACCTTTCCTCATATTCTAGGCGTCAAAATTGCCCTCAGGTTTTTCTTTAAAATACTTTTTTTTTCTGCTAATCAAGCCAAAATTGAAAGGTGACAGTGATCGTTTTTGCACCAGAGAACAGCTGACATTATTGCTTTTTCATTTATTTCTAATATTTTTATTTTTCCTTGCAAAAAGATTACAAAGGGTCCCTGAGAGAAATATGGAGGATCGACAATCTTACAAGTTTGAAGACTTTGAAAACCTTTATAGAAAAAGGGACCCAACCAAATGTAACGCAGATTAAGACGAGCAGTCATTTTACAACTAACAACGATGTATTTCCAGAAGGGCGTCGAGATCGAGCATTTTTTCTTTGCCCTCTGACTGCGGAATACGAGTTTCACTTCTCGTGCAACGGCTCCTGTGAATGGTCAGTCAAGGAAACAGAGAATTCAAGTGCTGCAATTGCTGCTGGTATATCTCTTCAGCCCATAGGCAACGACGAGATGAATTCGTAAGTCCATAATAGTTATAAAGTAAAAACGGCGTAATGAGTATGCAAGTTTTGCATCATGGATATTCGCATTTTAGGAACTAGTCGACGACTCTCTCATTTTCAAGCAAGTGATTCTGTCAAGATATCTTTCAGATGTGGCATGTAATTTGCTTACCAAGGAAAACAAGTGGCCGAGCTAAAAAAGGTCATGAGTTACTTAAAAAGGGTTCGCTTCATTAAAGCCTGCGTCGCTGAAGTAATTGAACCTCAGTATGTAACGTCTGCGAAGCAGCTGGGCAAAAATCTTTGTTCTCTCCCCTCAATGGACTTCACGAATTACCGGAGAAGCGTTTTGACTGGCAAAGCGACAATGGCATTTTCAACAGGCCCAATCTCGACCCAGGGCTCTTCTGCGCATGTAGGGGAGACAGATCAGAGCTCTGGGGAACCCTGGAGCAAGATTGTCTCTGATTAGTTTCAGTGAAAAACCAAAAAAGTGTTTCTGATTGGTCCATTCAAGTTTGCACGAGAGCGGTTGAACGTGCGGCGTGGCTGGCGTGTGAGCAGGTTTTTCCCTAGAAATGTTGAAGTAAACACGACCGGCCGATTCTTGATTTCATCGATTCCAGAACAACGTTTGCACGACCAATTAGGCAGAATTACTGGATTTTCAAATAAAATTTTCAAATAAAATAGCTTAGCTACATATCGAAAATTGAACCAGAAAAAGATTTGAATGCAAAAAAATAAAATAAAAATACACCGACATCTTTGCCAGCTATAATTTAAGAAGCATGACACATTACTGATTTTTCTTGACTTCCACGTTATCGTACTCACACGAAGTAGCCGAGAATGAATGAAAGCTTGAACTTCTTGTCGTAAATTGCCCAAAAACAGACTTGAAAGAAAAAAAAAAAACAGAAAAAGTGAATAGTTCCTTAAAGTGATGCGTGTACAATGCGACCAGATATTTATAGTTGTCTTCTTTTCCCACGATATCGCATTTCAAAGCATCTTCGCTGGAGTGTTAATGTTCATGAACAAACATAAATAAAAGGACGCTAAATTCATATTTTGGAATGTTTTATTGGAATTTCGATGCTTTTATCTTAACAAGCCATTCGGGTTTCACTTACCGCCTCGTGAAGTAGTCCACAGAAATATTTAATCAACTGCAAGCTGTCAAGGATGTGCAAACTTCAAGTCTCAAATCTGTGATTGGGAACGTTTGACGGTATTTTCTCAGCAGCTACCACAAGAGCCTTGGCTACCTGAAAATTCTTCAAGGCCGTTAACTGAATTTCTTCCGTTCTAATACCGAAGCAGGACAAGAATTTCGCGATGAAGTAGATATAAAAGAAGGAAAAAGTTTTGGTTGGATCAAAGAGCATGCGTTGTGAGGCCCAAATAGCCAGATTTTGGATACTTCGGCACAGAGTTTCCCAGAGCTTACGCGCGCATTCCCAAACCCGTAAGCACTGGGCTCGAGAGTTTAACAGGCCAATCATAGCGCGTACTCAAATCCTGAAACTTTTTCTTTTACTCAGTGGCATCAAAAGATTCACCAAATGATTTTGGATCATTGTACGTTTCCGGGAAACTGAACACATACCCCTCCCCTAAGCCAACATTTTGCCCAAGTGAGAAGTAAGTGCTAATTTTGGCTTAGGGGAGGGGTCGGTGGGCAGTCTCCTAGAAACGTATAGTGATCCATGATTTCCATCACATTTTAATAAAACCTTGGAAGGACAATTTTCATTATTGCTGTTCTATTGAGTAAATTCTTGTTAACCCGGAATTTTTTCTATTGGTTTGTAACTAGAACTGCTGTTAACCTCACTGAAGCACACGCTTATTACGTTGAACTTCTTTTCTTCTCGAATAATACGTCTCGGTTTTACACGCTTCGGATCAAGGATCCTGGCCACGACAAACCCCACAAAATAGACAACTCATATCTTGTCCTCTACAGGAAAGGTGTGTATGCATTGCTTCTTGTTTAAGTAAGAGCTCGGTTACAACGATTGACCCAGCATATTGTATTAACTTTTGTCCCACACTGTTGGTTCCCCTGGTGTTTAAACCTGATATCAGTTAGACGGTGGTAAATCTTGTGCTGCCATGGACAACTTCAGTCCAGTCCAGTATATATATACCCCCGATTCAGCAATCCTGTAGCCAGGGAGTTGCATTGTTGAATTGCTATTCAATCAGTGCAACGACACCAACTTTTATTACTTGCGTGCTCCTCTTCGCTTGTTAAAGTTCAAACATTTTCAGACTCGGGAGAGACCCATACCTTAAAGATTTTCCTCAGTCATGTTCTGTGTTTTATTTAGATGGAAATTACAGTATTCCGAATCCTGGAGAATGGGAATCGTGGTCACCTTGCAGCGTGTCTTGTGGCCCACAAGAAGGAGTACAATTCCGTAATCGTCCGTGCGCCAAAAATCCTTCCTTGTTTAACATAACAGATGGCTTCGAGTCACGAGCTTGTAATGTCGACGCCGTACCCTGTGCAAAAGGTGATTGAAAACTGATGGCAATTTTGAATAAGCTTAATAGACAAATAATGTAAGCAAACGATATAGTATGAAAACAAAGCGATTATTAATGGGTACTTAGTAGAATTAATCTCCGGCCAAACAATCACAACAACCAAAAATGTAGTTTTATTAAATGCCTTATGTTTTGACAATCGTCTTCTTCCCAATATCTTGACTACTAACCTTCCAGACATTAAAAAGGTATGTTTGATTAAAAGTTAGCGCGCTACGGTGTCTCTAGCGCAGAAGTCTCTTTGACTTAAAATTCAAATGAAATGCTTTGTTTTCAATAGGTTCTACCTTGATTAACGCACAAGCCTCCAGCTCCACTTCCATCATAGTCAGTTGGAACTCGGATCATTTTAGTATCGATAACAGAGCTGTGATTGGGTACAGGGTTCTCTATGTTGACGAAGCTGAGACTCAGCCAAAGCGGAATGTCTCAGTAGGAGCCAACATCTCGTCAATAGAATTGACGGGCTTGATGGTCAACACAAACTACTGCATTCAAGTTCTAGCTTTTAGCAGTCAGGGAGATGGAAATGCGAGCGACTGTTTGTTTACTTCAACTGGAATGGATGGTACGTAGAAGGGCTGTGATATTGCCAATTCCAAACGAATGCTTGCTATATACCTGCTAAGCATGCGTGATGGCAGCCTGGAGATTACGATTTCGGGCCATTTTTGCCGCCCGCAAGTAGTGTTGAGACTACAGTTTTCTCAATATGAATTATAATATGATCTCCTTTTACATAGGGTGTAATGGTTCCATTATCATGCTCAACAATGACAGTGTAACTGGCTTTCAAATTCTTCCCAATGGTTCTCGTCTGCATGATAATTCTATAACCGCGGAATCATTTACAGATGATAATTTTACAATATGGTGTTTTAACGACTCACTGACGTCCTATCTGGAAATTAATTTGAGAACACTGCACCGAATATGTACGATTGAAACAAAAGGCTTACAAGCTTCCAGTAACGAAGTCAGATACATTTCTTCATATCGTGTTGAAAATTCAACTGATGGCAGAGAGTGGACCTTTTATAATCAAACGGAAAACGTAACGGTAAGCTGTGCTAGATTTCATTGTAATATAAGTTTTGATGATGACGACCATTACCGATGTGTCGGTGTAGCGATGCTATGATCTCTGACACTATGTGCATTCCATATGGATGATCCGCATCAGGATCAGTGATGCGAGATCACTCGGATCATAGCCGCACATCAAAGGAACCAACGAATCCACTCTGGGAAAGGATTCATCGGTTCATTTGATGTAGCATGATTTTAGTGATCTCGGATCACTAGCCATGATCCGGGTCATCCCAAAGGAATGCACAGGGTTACTGGGGTCTGCCGTTTCGGTCGCCTGGGCGGGTTGGGTGATATTCATTCTTCAGGGAAATGACTCAGTTTCTGGGCGATTTAGGAGATTGGATGTTTCGGGGTCTAAGGGTGAAAACGCTTCTTTATTGGTTAACGTGGTTCTTCAAACAAGGTTGGAGATATTGGTTAAAACAAATGATCACAAAATTGCAAGGTGTCCTTAACTGGCCACGTTAGTTCCATGTTGATAGCGGGCTCGTAGGAAAAAATGATGAATTCTAAAAATAACCTCACACTCCCTCTTTCAAAAGTGAAAAGGCCTAAGGATGAAAAAGTAATGAAATTAAAGTGCTTTGCCAAACACCACGAATTTTCTGGTTAGAAACTTATACTACTTCTAATAGAGTTAACCGACCTGTGTCTAGGTTAGTAAGATGGTGATTAAAAAGGCGTTTGTTCACAAATAACTTTTTTTCCAGGTGTTTGAGGGAAATGCATATGATGCCCCACTACTCAGGAAGAAAAATTATCTGACAAATGATGAACTTCTGGCATCAATTATTCGTATTTGGCCTGTGCAGTCAATTGGAAACTGCACCCAACTAAAACTTTACGGAGGTCAAGGGTCAGGTCAAGGTTCAGGTGAAGGACAGAGTCCTAAGTTAAATGGAAGTTAGCGCTAAATCTAACCTATAAGTTAAGCGCATTTTTAATGAGTTCCGTGAACGAGTTTTGTCCATTTTTTAACCAACAATTGTGCAAAAATCTTGCAAAAAAACTGGAAGGAACAGCTTGGTGTTCTGGAGCCGTCATCGCATACACTTTTTTCTAGTTTTGGGTGTTTAATTAGCTATTCCTTCCTCCTAATATTTTTGCTTTGCATTTTTAAAATTGTTTTAGTTTTTAGCCTTTTTTAAACGTATCCAATATGTTAGTCCTTTAGTTCTTTAGATGCATTTTTAATCAATTTGAGATCCGTTTTCATGGTGGTGGGTAGTAGGTTTTTAATGGCTGAAGTTACGTCAGATCTCATAGATCAGTTCAACCTGTCCGCAGAGCTTTTCGTTGCTTGCTCGATTATGGCGTACTCGCTAAAGACTCTGCATAAATCGAGTAACATCTTTGTTGAGCATGCGCGGCATGTTGCCAAGATAATGGTTGCGAATCCAGACCTAATACCCGTGTGCCTGCTATAGCGGACTCGGTTGTGACCATCGGTTTATCAGTAAACGCAAACTCTCACTCGAAAAATAAACTGGTTTGACGAGAGAAATAAAAGATTGGCAAGTCCAGAGGGTCGGGCTGCGGCGACCTCAAAGGGGTGACTTTATTCAGGCAGAGGCTCCTTTACTCCTCTTCAGTGAAGAAGGCAAAAAAAGGTTCTGCTTACGGGGTAAGATCAGTTTGAATGTTGAAACGGATGCAAAAAGGAAGAGATCTCTCAAAGAATACGTGGATGAGAACTACAGTTGAAGATCTCCTAACAGACAGTCTCTTACGGCCGCCTTCCTCAGCCTTTTCTTAATTCCCATACGAACTCTGTCTTTTTACATTCCCGTATTGGGGCCAACTCCAGTCACAGGGACCTTTTTCGCTCCCCGAGGGTGTCCGTTCTCGAGCAACGAAGCTCTCAGACACCTATATTTTGATTGGACTTCTTAACAGCCGCTATTGTGTTTAAGCCTAAATACGTTTTTTGGGTCAATAATGTATTTTTTCGGTAGAAAATCAAACAACTCCTTCTGAGAGCTTCTTTGTATCCCATCCATTTTCCGGCATCTTAATAAGTCTTTGTTGAGTTGATAATCCTTTAGTTACAAAGAGGACAACTTTCATGATTTACAAGTCTCATTTGCGGGTGGTTGTTTGTGTTTTTGTTTTGTTCAGCACCAAGCTTTGATATCTATGAATGGACTCTTCAGGTGTTCAACAGCAGCTCAACCTCGTTAAACATAAGTTGGAGTGCAAATTCGTCCCATCCAGTCAGACGATACCTAATCAGACTGACAAACCGCGATAGTGTCACGAGCGCAGTAAGCATCGTCGACCCAGACAAGAAAACAACAGAAGTACACGGATTATTTAGATACTCAAATTACTGCGTCAGGGTTACCGTTATATCTGAACATGGGCTTCGAAAAAAAACTGACGCGGTCTGTGCCTCCACGGCGATTGATAGTTAGTACAAGTTTAAATAAGTCTCACTGGTGTGATAGATAACCTTCAAATCAGTATCTTCTAAGGATTTGTTCTAACTCCATCAGTTAAAAAAGGGTCACACGACCTTTTGTAAGTGTGTTTCGCAAGATCGTCAGGATCGAGCGTTTGCCGGTACGCGCAGCCATCTTGGTTTCATATGTACGGAGGGGGTGGCTGTCGTGGCTTATAGCGATGGGGGAAGTGAGGCCTTCTCCCAAACCTTCACCCACCCACTAAGAAGAATCGAAACATTTGTGACCACGATGATCGCCCGTAACACAAAGCACGCGATCTCGACGCTCTTACGGAAAAAATAGGGGACTGTGATTAGTGTACACGGTCCTAAGCTGATGAGTTTGTTCTGAAGGATGATTTGCAACATACATACATGCTACACATGACCTAAAGTTTTAGATCCGTTTCTTTGCACGTACCCTGCGCGTGCCTCGGATGTCTAGGGAGGACAGTATGTTACCATGTTGGTGTTTGACACATCAACATTTGACTTGTCTTTGGGCAGAAACGTGTGTCTGTTTTAAATTGTAGCGGTGTTCTGTTGCAATTGTCTCAACCCCAACAGCAAACGATTAGTGATAAAATATATGAAACAGAAAGGCTAAAACTGAGGATGTAATTCGAGTTTAAAATACTGTTACTCCAAGAAAAAAAAACAACAACAAAAACAACAACAGGAAAATGCATCAACATGGATCCAATATACAATCTATCATCAATTGTTGTATAACTATTCTCTTCAAGAGCCCCACAAAGAGGCATCATTTTACAGTTTTTTTTAATAAAGCTGCTTAAACCTCCTTTGTTATTAATTACCAATTGGCATCAACTTGTCAAGAAATGATAAATTTCAATTTCTAATTTTATTTCTAAAAACAGTAGTTTAATGATTTATATGTATTAGAGAAGATGCAGGAAGGACACTTTCGTGAAGAAATGTTCCCTGTCGCTTATAAGTCCTTCCTTTGAATCTTCACAAGGCAAACAAGGCATATCTTTAACTATCCCTTAGCTTTTTTTCTTTTGCATTTTATATTTCTTTGATAGCTCCAACCGATCCCCCAGAAAATCTCACTGTGCAAGATAGCAGTTATACTTGGTTACTGATAAGCTGGAATCATTCGAGGCCATACTTTTCTCGTAATGAAGTTGAAGGATTTCTTATAAACATAAACGAGAATGGAGGATTGTTTAACAATACTCTTTCAGTGCAACGTATACCGGAAGAGAAAAATATTTCAGGATTGAAAGAAAATACAGAATACTGCATAAAAGTGAAAGCTGTAACAACTGGTGAGTTGGGCGAAGAGAGCGATGAACTCTGTGCCGTCACGGATCAAGAAGTCGGTAAGAGAAAAGATCCTGGCTACATATAAAACAAGTAATTTACATCATGACGTCACTTAGCCATGGCTAACACCACACTAATTACGGGTTTTAAACTAACATACTGTACTTAAATAGTGAAAATAGATTTTAAGAAGAACTCTTAAGTATGTATATTATATTATTGTTATTTATATACTGGTAAACAATACTTGATAACCAAATGAATAGATGTTAATAATACCTATATTAATAATAATAATAATAATAATAATAATAATAAACTAATTAAGTTTAAATCGAAAGTTGATAAGATCATTTTTATCAATCCTACTGTGTTTGAATGTTTAATTAACTGTTTGAGTTTATAATAGACTCAATTAATTTCTTGGTAGATAACTGCCTGATATTAGAGATTTTAGATTAAAGCCTTGTTTCCTTTTTCAGCTATCAACACTATCGCCACCTCTTCAACTGAGTCACCTAAACCGATATCTGCCACTCATACTGTCGTCGACCTTTCAACTTTGTTAACCTCGCCACAAGCAACCCCGCTGATGACTATCGACCCTGGCATGTTAACTGCCTCGCTATCGCTATCTTCCGCACTGAATGGAGCTCTCGAGGGCACAACATCCATATCAGTTTCCTCCACCCCTGCACTAGTAGTCCACCGGTTAACAACATCGAATGCGACACAAGGAACCCCGACAATGACTTACGATCCTGGCATGTTAACTGCCTCGCTATCGCTATCTTCTGCCCGGAAAGGAGCGATCCAGAGCAGAACATCTATATTAGTTCTCTCCCCTCCTGCACTACTTTTGCACCCGTTACCATCATCAACAGCGAGACAAGCAACCCCGACATTGACTTACGATCCTAGCCTCTTTACCGCCTCGTTATTTTCTACACTGAACGGAGCGACAAGGACCACAATATCCACAACAATACTCTCTCCTCCTGCACCTGTCACTACCAACCCGGTATCATTAACCACAATAATTGCGCCATTGGTTCTTTCAGTATCTGTTCAAGGAGCTAATGACCAAGGGAGCTCAGTAATGACTTCAGGTAATCACTTACATTGAGACGGCACGTAAGCCGGCACATAGGAAACGTATGAAGTGGATATGCACCCTTTTCCAGCTTAATGCACTTTTCTGGATGCACCTCTTATAGCCATAAACAAATAAAAAAGGAACAACAACAATAATAACAAAATGGTGGGTTCTTGGACCATATCATCGTTGAAATTTACGCCAATAAAGCCAGTAAAAAAGGAGTGCCGAATAACCACGATAAAAAAACAAAACAAAATGCTTTACTCTTTTGGGGTTGTTTTTCCCCTACTTGTGACGCTGATCCTCATATTTTCGAGTTTTTCATCTTAGTCCTGGCCTCTTGTCTATCTAGAGGGTCAGAAACGGCCTGCTCCCAGGAAAACAAAGACTGTCTTTCTAGCTTATTTGCGATGAAATTCTTGTCCGTTAAGGTGAGAATAAATCAATTTCTCCACGGTGCGAACCAACCTTCACTCGACATCCTGAGTGAGTGTAAAGAATTTTTCACCATGTCTTTCCCCCTTACTTGTAAATTAGTAAATAGTCTTAGTCTCTTGTCTACCTGGAGGGTCAGAAAAGGGCTGTTCCCTGGGAAACGTGGTTGCCTCTTCTCTGAGACTTTTGCCCCTCGTGAGCTGTACTAACACCTTGATGGAGTTGCTACTGTCAATGCCTTGTTTTCTCGCCCGACCTTTAGTCAAAATTTGTTATTTTTCATTCATGGTTTGTCCATAAAAAGTTCATCTGTTAAATAAACTTAAAGATCACAAGATTACTTTCTCTTTTAAACAGGTCTCGACCAGCCACCGGCCATAATTACCGCACAAGCCTCAAGTTCCACATCTATCACGGTCAGCTGGGACCTAATTCCTCCTGGCGACGACGAGAACGGGCCTTTGATTGGCTACAGGATTCTGTTTGTCGACGAAGCTGAAACGCAGCCAAAGCTGAATGTCTCAGTAGGAGCCAACATCTCGTCAATAGAATTGACGGGCTTGTTGGTCTACACAAATTACTGCATTCAAGTTTTAGCGTTTAACAGCCAGCAAGATGGTAATGCCAGTGACTGTGTGTTTGCGTTAACTGATCGATGAAGATGGTAAGAACAAAAAAAGCTCAGAGGACTCCTATGTCAGGGAAGCTATTTATCCAGGGAAGATCCTGAATTATCGGGAATCAAAATGCGTCAGTACCGCACAGTATGATTTAAAAAAAAAAAGAGCAGGACAAAAATCCCTGGCAGGACTACGAGCGATTGTCAAACACAGAGGAACATCAACTTTCAGTGTCCGCATTTAACGTTGAGCCCCAACTAGGACTTAATAGGAGCCGATTTCAGAAATGTCTCATATTATTTTAGATAATTGATATTGAGGCCAAGTTAAAATAGAGACTCTATCAGTTTACAGGAAGTTAAATGGGTTAGGATAGTAACCTAAAGTGCCATATGCTAACATCACATGCACTGAATCTGATGGGTTATTAACAGTCACGCTTTTATAAAAGGTCCATTCTCTGTGTACCCTTGCTACATCTTACTACCAGTAGTTCATATCTGCTTTGTGCTGCTGCCGTTGAGCAAAGAGCACGCGAATCAGCCGTTGCGATATGTAGGCAAGCGTAAGGCACTGGCCATACCCAGGGAGTTGGCTAGCAGTGTGTTTCTTGCTGATTGAATCCCCTTTTTTGAAGGTGTGCAAGAGAGATCCCACCATGTAAATGTGATGCCACCCTTTTCTCGTCATGATAGAATAATACAAAGAGTACACCATTTTTTTTTTTAAATTATTTTCAGTTCCATCTATGGCTCCCACTAATCCCTCGGTGTTCATGTTGAACAACAGTGTAATGCTGTCCTGGGGCCAGCCGCCCTCTGTTGGTATAAATCGAGAGTTGCTGGGCTATTCAGTACATATTCAGGAATCTAATACTGTCATACTCGTAGGTCAGTGTTACTTATCTATGGAGCTTAAGAAGGAGAATATCTCTGCTGAAAGTTGTGTTCGAGTAGCTGCTATAACTAAAGCCGGGTTTGGTGTGCCAACGTCTTGTGTCAAAATTGACTTGGGTGAGTTCACAAAACCTTGACTTCCATACCTTGGTCATAAGAGATGTAAAGATCTCACCCCGTTTTTCAAACGTTGGATAACTTTATCCACATGATAAATCACTACTCAGTGTACAAATATTAGGGAGGAAACCAATGGCGTTATCTACTAGATAGAGATTTATCCAGTGGATATCACTGGATCAAGGCCGAAAAAGTTCGATATGAAGCACGGAAAACGATTTTGCCTATCTAAAAGAAAGGAATTTTTCCTTTTCCTTGAAGGCACCAAATGAAAAAACAGTAGTGTTTCTGAGTTATTTATCCTTCAAAGTCCTAACGATTGAAATTTGTCTCCAAAGACTGGATAAAAATGAGCTTCGTGAGCTGCCATCTAGGATCATGCATGACGTCATTGCGTTCAAAGTCAGTTTTGCCAAATTTTACTCAATGTTGTTCCAGAAATCATGTAATCAGAAATTAAGTTTGATAACATTGCCAATCGTTCAAAAAGAGGTAAGAAATTGCCACTTAAGGTCTCTTGAAGCTCACGCCAACCTTGATCATCTTACTGCCGTTTTGGTTCGCGCATGAAGTCTTTACGTTCAACCTCAGTTTTACCGCACTTGACATTTTTAATAATTGGATGTTGCTCCAGAATTAATGTCACCGGAGATTAAGTTTGATATCGTGACATTTTCTAGAACATGTCCTGAAAACAAGTTTTAGTTGTACGAAATTGCCACTTAAGGTCCGTTAAGGTCATCTTACTCCATTCATAATTTTAAGAATTACAAACCAAGCTATCGAGTTGACAGACAGACTCAGTCAAGATGTATACTGAGATCATAAGGCGATTTCTTATTTCCTTGCAGGCTCGGACTTTAATCTTATTTCACTAAGTGCAACAAAAAGAATGAGTTTTTCAGCAATAAAGGTAACATGGACACACCCAACAAAAGAACGTATGAGCGGACAGTTACTTGGTTATATTGTAAAATACCAAGCAGTCCGTCAGGGAGATCAACCAATATTACATTTAGAAGCTAATGCAGCCTCAACCCTTCATGTATCTACTAACTGCAGCGAATTCGTGCTCTTGAATCTTTCCTCGTATTCGATGTACAAGATTGAGGTGGCACCTGTTACAGCAGAGGGAGTCGGGAACTACAGTGATCCCGTTTATGGAGGTACTTTGATTCAAAAACCGCTTGCGTCGAAACTTTCTTTGTGGTTGACGTAAATTCATTTGGAGTGACGTCGCCTAAGCTTGAATATCAGTAATTAATGCAAATATTGACAATAAATGCTAATTAATCCCAGAGTGGGGTCATCCTGCATATCAAGCATCTCGGCTACCAATTCATCCGACTTCGCCTATTAGGAATAATAATTTAGCCATTAAATTCACTCGTCTGTAAAGTAGATTTGCTCAGAGCAGATATGTTGTAGATATTTCCAAACAGGAATACCAATTAAAGGCGACATTTTTTACGTTAACGTTAAACTTTAAACGCTAAATTTTGATTTTAATACAACCTCACATTACTGCAATACCTTTGATCTATGCTAATTTCTAACTAATCCTTTTTTTCGTTATTGCGTGGCTAAAGTGGCTCTTTTGTCCAGGAGTATTGAATGAGGCTGTAAAAACAGCACACACTCCATTCTAGTACACTTTTCCGTTTACAGATGAATTATTTGTCCGCTTATTTACAAAACATCTATCATTTCCCTAGAAACCTGTCGGTGTAAGGAGTACCTAGAGTCTTCAATACTTCTCAGCTACTTAGATTCACCAACATCATTCAGTTCCTTGACGGGAGTCATAAGCGATCTGGTGAGGGACACCTGTGGCTACTGCGAGGAATACAGAAATCACACAACCAGTTTAATTCCTTTAGCTAGCAACAAATCCCTCGAGGAACCAGTTACCTTTCCAGTGACCTTGACGCAGCCATACGGAGACACTGCATATAGCAAATTTGTACCAGTAGTATCGGTGCCTGGTATGATTGTGGTAAGACGCAAAAGCATCTATAACAGCCAATTCCTCAGCAAAGTTACAGCCAACTCTGTGTTTGACGCCTGGCCTGTTATCGTGATTACCCTTGTTATGACTCTCTTGGCGGGTATTGTTATGTGGATTTTGGTGAGTTACGTCTTAAAAAGGCTGTGACACTACTGCCTGGTTCATAATTAACAATTCTTCCACGAATGTGCGTTGAATCATGTTTGGAGAGGATGGTATAATGGCTCATATACCATTATGGCTAAGCCAATCAGAGCTCCAGAATTGCATTATCCAATGATTCAGTTTTTAATAACGTCAATTGTACGTGCTCATTCGCTATGGCACTTACGAAGTTCTTGTAAATGACAAAATTGCAGCTTCGTGTCGAACAATTGTCTGCGAAAACTACATGTATAGTTGAGATTCATTTCAATTATCTTCAGGTTTGCCTGTTCGTGCCTCCATTTCAGGTATTTACTGTGTTATTTTTAACGTTTTGAGAGGTTATTTTCTGTTTCACTCATCTTGGTGGCAGTTCTCGCTGTTTGAATTTTTGTAAATATCGTGACACAGCTCCTTCAATATTTACTTTTAGTTAAATGAGCATTTTTGCGAAGTTTATCCTAATTCAAAAAGTTAGAACTTTTCCAAATCGAGTGAAACATGAAAATAACCTTCGACAAGAGTAAAAGAAGGTGTAAATAAGAAGGCAAACACAAAAGGGTTTTGGAAACTTTTTAGCGAGACAGGCCTGGTAAAAAGATGGTCATAGGTTTGACACCTGTTGGGGATCTCGTTTTTACCTCAGTTTTCCTTTTGAAAAGAGTACCTCCATTTATTTGTTGTTTACTATGCATTGTACTCAATATCTGTCTTCTTATTGGCTGAGAGCCTTCTGCTAATCAGCGCAACCATGTTCAATAATTGTCAAATATCAGGCATTCATCATTGATGAAGCGTTCGCATAGCCCTTTGAGTATTACCAGTTTTCTGTAGTTTTTCTATAAATATCTTAAGCTTACATTGCACCAACAAATCTTCGCGCAAGCATGTCTCTCTTACTTTTTCTGGATCGCTCTGTAGGACTCTGAAGCCAATCCGGGACACTTTCCTCGCAATTACTTTAAAGGTGCTGCCGAAGGTTTTTGGTGGGCTTTCATCTCTATGACGACGCTAGGGTGAGTAATGTGTCTTTGATTGAGGATGTTTATTCCGTCATCTATCTCATAAATTGATACACAACTGTATAACTGCTTAAAACGTTTTAAATTCAAGTCGTTTTCGAAATACAGTACTTGCTCCTAGGAAGGTCAATCGAAGTTATAGAAAAGCGACTTAATGGCATAAATAAAAAAGTCAATTAACTCTCATAATACTAGAAACCCCCTCTTCTACAGATATGGTGACCGCTGCCCTCAGTCCATCGCTGCCAGGATATTTGCCCTGGCCTGGTTTCTAGTTGGACTTACCGTGTTTGCTATTTTCATGGGATCGTTGACAGCATTTTTGACTGTGACGGTGGTGAAGATGAACTCGAATAGAGGGACTTATAATATGGCGAAGGATGACCAGCCAATAAAGGTATTTTCAGTGTGCTCATTAATTAATTTATTATTTTATTTGCATTTCTTTGATACACCACGAAAGAAAGAGAAAATTGATATTATATTCTTATACTTGAACAAGAGAGAATGATGGGCGGTAATTTTAAGGCGTTCTCGGTTGGCCGGCATATCTGAATTTCACTAACGTTACTTCTAGAGATTGTAATTAAAAAAAGGTCTAGTTAATGTTCCTGAGACGACCGCACATTTTTATCGCTTGTTTAAGGCGTCATCAAGTTCACGTGTGAGTGCCGCAAAGCAAACAATGCAGAGTATTGCAATAGCGACTGTTCAATTGACCACTACAGAAACTACCATAACATACCATAATGCTCTTTGTTTGTCACCCCAAGATTTTACATAAGCATTGTCTTCAGTTTCTCTTCGGAGTTGAAGTGGCCCCAAGAGAAACTGAAAACAATGCTCATGCAAAATTTTGTGGTAAAAAACAAAGAGCATTATGGTATGTTATAGTATTTTCTGTAGTGGTCAATCCTTTCTTGACATTGGTTTTAAAATAACGTTGGTGAAATTCCCAAGGGCAAGACTGGACGTTTCTCTCTCTGTCTTGAGTGATTAAGTTTGCTTCTCTAACACAACTTATATGTACAAGTTAAAAAAAGAGGAATTTTTAAAAGCTTGGTATGAAGTACTTTGGTCCATGCACGCTATTTGTTCCACTCGAGTAGCAATGTGACATCAGTTTTCTCTCTTGGCCAATTTGAAATGTGTGAATGTAGCTAACTTTTTAGCGGGCTCAACGGGATCCTGGCTACCCTGCGTGCAGTCTCCTTCGATCTTCCTCGAAAAGGAGACGCTGTTCGCAGTGTAGATTTTGGCCATTTCCAATTCCGTTTGCATACCAAACAAGCAATATTCACAGTATCTGGTGAGAAGAGATGACGTTACTTTCACTCTCAACGCAATCTCTTATTGCCAGTGTATGAAGAGTCGGGAAAGCAGCTTGTAACGATGGGCGGTTGAGCCAAAACGTCGAGTTAAAAAATCAGAACTTTCCCAAGAAATTAAGGCCGCATCGAAGGTGTTTGGGAAATACACTTCGGAGACCTTGGATCGTTTTTCTTGGATTTATTACCACAACAGAATAGTTCAATTCATTCATGAATAATTAGGCCAGCAGACGAAGAAAGCAGAGAATCAACTTAGGTTAAACAGTTTTAACCTGAATCTCATTTTGAACTGTAGCATAAGCAACCAAGCTTACAAGGTGACAAAGTTCACAACCAAGTCATAATTATGTTTGTTTAGGTTGCAGTGGTTGCCAATTCTACTGAGCATAGGATTGCAATTAAAAGATTAAGAAACAAAATAAAACTCGGTAAGTGAAAATTACTCAACATGTCTGTTTACCTTTCGAGATCTAGATCTTAAGATTTCAGGTTTCTTGTCTCTCAGATATCATCACTTAAACCCTCTGACCGATTAATTTAATTCCTTTTTCCACCTCACACTATAGCTGAAAGGGAGTGAACGTATTAATTTAGAGAAGGAGGACTGCATCCTAAACTACTTAGCCTGCAAGAACAGCCGTCGTCTCTTCTCGCTTCTCGCCACTTGGAACTTTTCGCCTCATAATTAATCCGGTGGTTAAGGGGTTGCAAATGTGAAATTTTCGATTTTATGTTGCTCCTGGTCGATTTTGGTAAAATTTTTGTTTACTTCTTCCAACGAGGTCCAGAAAAACCCAAATGCTTCGCTTAAAGAAGAATATATTCTATGAATATTCTCTGTTTTGTAATAGATCCACTGCGTTTACATTAGCCCTTTGTGTCGCCTTTTGCCTCTTGTCTGTTATTCATAAGCAATAGCTAAAACAATACCACTACTACGCCAACCAATCAAAGTCCCTGCCCAGATTCCGGACAGATTTTACGTCACCATGCAGTATGGAATTTCTGTTGCTGAGGCGCAGACTTCCTACCTGCCGATACGTCCAAAGCGGCGAAGGGTGAGGAGAGAGGGCTTTTTTCGCAGGCTATAAACTAGTATACAGTAGCAATTACCACCTAGTACATTCAATGCATGTCTTCTACGTCCTGCAGGAACCACGTTCTCAGATTTAACATCTATGATCCAGGCGTTGAAGAGTGGCGATGCAAGCTATGTATTACTCGATATGTACGTCCCAGTAACGAGAAAGGACTTATTTAACGGGTCATGGTTTGATGTCGTCGATATTCTTGAAGGAGAAATACAACACGGCGTTCTTCTTCAGGGGGACGGTGTTGGATTAGCTCAGACTATGAGGAACTTGCTTATAAAGGACGACGTACAAACCAAGTTTTTGATAGAAGCAGGAACATCAGTGACCTCTGAGGTGAGATTTTCTTCTTTTTCCACTAATCGTTTGGCCTTTTTACGATACATGTCAATTCATTTTTAAATTAGCTTTTACGTAGTTGTACCTTTTTATCGGTTTTATCTATTATACATTCATTTTTTTAAATTTTAACTAGTGTATAAACAATGTAAAGTGCTTTTGATCATTTTTTATGTTGAACGACACACATATGCCACGCGCCATCAAATCGCGTTTGACAAAGGAGATAAAATCCAGGGTCGAATCCAGAAAATTCAGTAAGGAGTGGCCGGGACACTTACCCACTTGCCAGATATATAAATTAATACCTTTTATATTGCTGAGAATTCTATAGGAATGATACAGGGGTACCTCCCCAATCCTCCCTTAAAATTATAAAACATCACTTATAGTGGAAATTAGGTGATATTAATTGAAAGGTAAAATATTCGCCTCATAGTTTCGCTTCCGCTAGGGACGTTTCGAGTTTACTGATCTCCACTGAAATGTCTCTGTTGCTGTGAGAAGTGAAGACTGCATAAGTAGAAGTCACGTGTTCGATTTCAGCGGTTAATAATTTCATTTGTAATTAACACTCCTATTGCAGACTGAGAAGACATCTTTTGTGTTCTTTGAGCCCAGTAGTCCGTATTATCTGATAACAATGATCATCAGCGCTGGACTCTTGATAATAGCGACCATATGTGGACTTTTTTACCAGAATTTATGGTATAAACGACGCCTACGTGAAATGGATGAAGAAGGTATGTGGGTGCATATTATCTTCTGTGGTCTATGGTCTTGACAACTCAGTTGATAGGCTAAGTCAGCTAATAGATTGAAAATTAAGAATCATGGCCTTAAAGATGACCAAAGCCTTGCTTTAGGCGAATCGATCCTTGCTGACGTCATTGTTTTCATTTTTACTCATTAGCATAAAAGTTAACCCATAGAAGACGTCACTTTATATACTAATTAGGTACAAACGTTAGAAGAGCTGATTCATTTAGCAGTTCTTTATGAAATTTTCAGGTCTTTTTGATCGATAACAAAAACAACAACGACAACAAAAAAAGAAAAAAAAATAGCAATCAAAAACTGTGAAATGGCTGGCTCGCCTGGCAAAAATGTTAATGAGCTCATACATTATTTGTAAACTTTCGAGTTTTTGGAAGAGAATTTCTACGAAACTATTCGATATATAGGGCTAAAAATTTCAGAGATAGCTGATCAGAAATAGCTATGCTCTTTCGATATTCAGAGATTTTATCCTATTAGCTTCATCAGCTAAGGACAAGCATATGTCAATGAGGATAAAATTAATGTAAACAAGGATTCGTCTATGCGATTACGTTCATTGTAAACTAGTATTGAAAAGAAAACGAGCAAAAGGTAATGAAAGCAAAGAAATAAGTATGGCATGAACAGCGAGAGCATAACTCCTCATTTGAGAAGAGGTGGAGGGAAAGTGGAATAACAAATAATTTAAAGGCACTTTCCTGGAAGGTCAAATTGAAGGCTGGCTATACAGTCGACCAAAGTCTAGAAATGTTTGTCGATTCATTGAGGCTTTGATGCTGACTAATTTGTTGATTTAAGGGGAAAAGTGACTGGCTTTGATGAGACGTTTTATCTTCTCGTTTTCTCATTTTTCCGTTCAGTCTTTCATCCACTCATTCATTCACTCATTCACTCATTCGTTCGTTCATTCGTTCGTTCTTTCGTTCCTTCCTTTGTTCCTTCCTTCCTTCCGTTGTCTATTGGCCACTGATTTACTTATCGTAAGGTTAGCTGAAGTGAAAATTGCTTTATGAATAAGGCATACCGATAAAGTGTTTTTTTAATGGACCGACTAAGTGACTGAGTGATGGCTGATTTCAGATCCATGCACTTGCGGAGAAAAGAAGAGGGATATCACAAAATCGGTGAAAACATTTTATTTCAATTTTTCCCAAACGTATCATCGCTTACGAAGAAAACACCAGGTACAATTAGTAATCTTAGCCAATAAGGCTGTTCTTAGAACTAAGGAAGGTCTGGTCCAAGAACCAGGCAACGATCAAAAGAAAGAAGATCATAATGGATATAATACATAAGTTGATCGAGCAATATTATCAAGATTAATAATAGATACGGAAACACCTTATTTTCCACAGTAAATTCAAAATAGTTGTTGTATTTTGTTGGGGGGCTGTCTCAGTGAGTACCATCTTAAAGGTCTTCGTTGGCTGTCTTAAATAGGACCATTACGTTTTTTTTTTAAATTTTTCTAGAAGTGATTTGGACAGTCGTGCTGAGTCCCAGAATCGTTTAGAATGAACATATGACAGAGCAGTTTTGTTTTCATTAGTTCACCATTGCCCCCCTCTTCCCATTTGAAGACATACTGTAGGTCTAAATAAAACTGACTAGTACTTTGTGGGTTTTGTGCATGTCTAAGGTACTGGGTATACAGCGGGGTTGTTTAATGTGAACATTGTACAGATACATGGCTTCTCTCTTACGCCAGGATAAGGCATCAAACCGAGTTTTTCGTGTGTTATGCTTCTTACTTACCACAATAATCTCATCCTGCAAGTTTTCTAGCTACGCGCTAGTTCGGCCTAGTTCGCATCAGGAAAGACTGGAAAATGAGTATTAGCAGACTTGAAATTCCAATATTTGTACCTGTACTAAGTCACAAGGTGGTTTAAAGGATAAATATCGTGAACCGCACACGTGCAAGCTGAAGTCCAACAGTTAAAAATTCAAGATTTATTTGAGAAATACATAATTGCGGCAACTAAAAGTGATTTAGACGACCATGGCGGCAACAGAAGGAATTCTGGTCGCACCTTTCGTCCACCAACGCATCCCTATTACAGAATCAGAGCCGATAACTTTTAACTCAATAATTATTATTCCTTTCGTCTGGTTTTAATCACCGTTGCTGTAATAAAATGCCTGTCTTTTTAAAATGTAATTGTCTTATTTCTGTTGTTGTCAGCTCCCAATCTTTTAGAGCTGCGAGGTTTAGACATGTCATATTAAATCAATTTAGCTTTGCACGCTAATTTCAGCGAAACCTTTCCACTCCGGCTTCTTATAATTTCTGCTTGATATTCTTTTCCATTTTCGCTTTATTTGTTTAGATCCAGCCTCTTTTATTTGTTTTGCTCTAGCATAAATGTTCTGAAAAACTGATTTTCCCATAGACCTTATTTTTTTTACTGGGAAATAATTTTTCTCTTTTTAATGGGAAAGATTTTTATAATAACTCCCTTATTAATTGCCGGGAAAGTTCGTCCCTGAAAAGATTTCCGGGTCCATTGAGGTCAACAAAAAATTTCCCGTCCTGGTAGGGGTCAGTATTTTGCCGTTTTAAGCCGTGACACTTCTGAATGAAGCATACATGAGGGAAAAACAATATAACGGTCAAAGAGTACTGGGAACAAGTTTGAAAAATAAAAAAAATGGCGGCCGAAACACGGATAATTTTTTTCTGGCTTTCAAAGACATTTTCTGGAAATTTTCTTCGCGCTGGCTACCCCTCACGGGTTCAGGTCAAATTCAAAGGAAAACAAAAAACCCAGTTTGGTTTAAAATACTGCGGTGGTTTTAAAGGCAGACAAGAGATGTCACGATATCACGTGGTACCGTTCGCGATTTCTGCAAACTTTGGTTGTAATCTTTCCGCGAAAGTCTGCGCAGGTGAAAATCCATTCAAAAATGGCGATTTTTTGGTTGGTTTTTAGCGCGAAAAACCCAGTGAAATCCGATAAGCTGGCATTAATCGAAGGTAAGATCTTGAATTTGATGTTTCTTGATATAAATATTCCGGTGGTACCCATTGAGATTTGGTTACGAGTAACTCACAATCAGAGACAAAAAAATCCGAAAGTCTCTATTGAGTCAATAGCCCATTTGGCCTTCGGCCTCATGAGCTATTGACTCAGAGCCCATTCGGGCTCGAGGAATAATTGTTAAATATCCATAGAGCTTGGGGCTCGTGTGATAGAAACATTGCTATATCAACGAATTCTTTCAATGGCAAAATCAAACTTAAACTTCTTATTACCACCCCTGCACAGAAGCTCACTTTGCCAAACATTCTTTTGTATTCTTAATAGAAGAATATGTATTTTGCGCTATTTACGTTACTCGTCATGAAGGTTTCGGCATTTACTTTACTGATATTATTGATGAAAGTAGCATTGGCGCTGGATGTGAAAACCTATCACTTCGTCAACTTCCGGTTTTCTTAGAACCCAGAAATAGCCATAAGTAATCACTATATTCAAACCGCAGACCATGTCTGCTGTTTCCAAACCGTTCTGTACGAGAGATCACACCGCACAGCAGTATGAGAAATTTATATGAAAAATTGCCCTTTTGGCTAGCAACTCTTCGGTCATAAAAAGATCAACTCAGGTAAACTTTTTTGATCTTTAATTCCTTTCTTTCATGTATTCCGAGCACTGATAACACCAAGTTATGAGCAACTAGAAAAGATTGGCGGCCACCCATGTGACCTTGAGGCTAGAGACCCTAAAATCTGGCACCGCCAATGAAATAGCATAACGCTGAGGGTGATAAACTTACCAGAAATAACGAAAAATGAATCTTTAATACTCGCCAAATTTCGTGCAAACACATGCCTCCTCCACCTGAGTTTTGTTAAAAGTCTCATAAAAGGCTCGAGAAATTGTGAGACTTTTGACAAAAGGCAAGTGTAATTATTGCTGTTTTCATTCGTCACCATTTAAATATAGACATTTTATTTTTTTAGCATTTGAAAATTAATGTTCAGCCCCTAATAACAACAATGTTTAAGCTCAACGATATTGGACACTTTTTGCGCTTCGGTCAATTGAAGAAATTAATTTATAATTGTGAAAGGTTTGAACCCAGGAGTCATTTCAAAAGTAGGTTGAGTTTGATCGTCCGGGTGAACGTAGTCCTTCCTGATCGATCAAACTCAACCTACGTTTGAAATTAATTTATATTGCAAGAGTAGATTGATGAAACTGAAGAAAATTAAAAATGTCTTTGCACATGTATGAAAAGTTTACATAAAGTTGTTTATCACTATGAAAAGTTAAGCTCGATCTCAATAGATGAATAGTTGTTGTATAACAAAACCAAAGAGACCATTAAAAAATGTTCTCGGACTGGCTTCCTTGCAGTAATATTGCAGGACGTTTGTCACATAAACCTAGTTTAGTGTCCCTAGCTCCGAAGAATGTCTTGTAGCTTTGTGGTAGAGCATCTGGACAAGTAATCAGAAGGCCAGAGGTTCGTCTCCTATCGGGAGTACTCGGAGTTTTTCTCCATAGCCGGCTGTGTCAATGACTGAAAAATCATCTTCCCATATTTCTTCATTTCGTGAACTTTGCATGCATTGGGTGTTCCTTACGCTGCAAGTGGTCTTAATTTGTTATCGAAAAAAAAAAAGAGGAAACAACACGCAAATTAACCTCATGCATAACATAAACTTGTCGTTTTCTTGACGTTATGTACAAAAGACTTTTACTGCATTATGGTTCGGTAAAAGATCGAAGTTACAAAATGAGTCTATCAAAATAGAGAAGGGAAAAAACATCACTTTATTCAATAGATTCAAAATTTGAAATTTAAAGCGCCAGGTTCTACATCAATTTAGTGTTTAACATTTTTACAGCATACAGTCAGATGTGATTAAAACCAACATGGCTGATCACAGTTTAGTGTAGATACCTCGAGTTCCTTGATATTGCTGATGGCTCTATCCCCGGCGTTAAAGCAATC